CTGTGCTGGGGTATGCTGACCTGTATTGGGCTGTGCTGGGCTGTGCTGACTGGTGCTGGGCTGTGCTGTGTTGGGCTGTGCTGACCTGTGCTGACCTGTGCTGTGCTGGGCTGTGCTGACCTGTGCTGACCTGTGCTGTGCTGGGCTGTGCTGACCTGTGCTGACCTGTGCTGTGCTGGGCTGTGCTGACCTGTGCTGTGCTGGGCTGTGCTGACCTGTGCTGTGTCGGGCTGTGCTGACCTGTGCTGGGCTGTGCTGTCCTGTGCTGGGCTGTGCTGTCCTGTGCTGGGCTGTGCTGTGCTGACCTGTGCTGTGTTGTGCTGGGTTGTGCTGACCTGTGCTGTGCTGACCTGTGCTGTGTTGGGCTGTGCTGACCTGTGCTGTGCTGACCTGTGCTGTGCTGACCTGTGCTGTGTTGTGCTGACCTGTGCTGACCCGTGCTGTGCTGACCTGTGCTGGGCTGTGCTGATCTGTGCTGTGCTGACCCGTGCTGTGCTGGGCTGTGCTGACCTGTGCTGTGCTGTGCTGACCTGTGCTGTGTTGTGCTGACCTGTGCTGTGCTGACCGTGCTGTGCTGACCTGTGCTGTGCTGACCTGTGCTGTGCTGACCTGTGCTGTGCTGACCTGTGCTGTGCTGACCTGTGCTGTGCTGACCTGTGCTGTGCTGACCGTGCTGTGCTGACCTGTGCTGACCTGTGCTGGGCTGTCCTGTGCTGGGCTGTGCTGACCTGTGCTGGGCTGTGCTAACCTGTGCTGGGCTGTGCTGTCCTGTGCTGGGCTGTGGTGTCCTGTGCTGTCCTGTGCTGGGCTGTGCTGTCCTGTGCTGGGCTGTGCTGGCTGTGCTGACCTGTGCTGTGTTGTGCTGGGCTGACCTGTGCTGTGCTGTGCTGACCTGTGCTGTGTTGTGCTGACCTGTGCTGGGCTATGCTGACCCGTGCTGTGCTGGGCTGTGCTGACCCGTGCTGTGCTGGGCTGTGCTGACCTGTGCTGTGCTGACCCGTGCTGTGCTGGGCTGTGCTGTGCTGACCCGTGCTGTGCTGACATGTGCTGTGCTGTGCTGACCTGTGCTGTGCTGACATGTGCTGGGCTGTGCTGACCTGTGCTGTGCTGACCCGTGCTGTGCTGACCTGTGCTGACCTGTGCTATGCTGACCGTGCTGTGCTGACCTGTTCTGGGCTGTGCTGACCGGTGTTAGGCTGTGCTGTGCTGACCTGTGCTGTGCTGACCTGTGCTGTGCTGACCTGTGCTGACCCGTGCTGTGCTGACCTGTGCTATGCTGACCGTGCTGTGCTGACCTGTTCTGGGCTGTGCTGACCGGTGTTAGGCTGTGCTGACCTGTGCTGTGCTGACCTGTGCTGTGCTGACCTGTGCTGTGCTGACCTGTGCTGTGCTGACCTGTGCTGTGCTGACCTGTGCTGTGCTGACCTGTGCTGTGCTGACCTGTGCTGTCCTGTGCTGTGCTGACCTGACCTGTGCTGACCTGACCTGTGCTGAGCTGTGCTGACCTGTGCTGTGCTGACCTGACCTGTGCTGACCTGACCTGTGCTGAGCTGTGCTGACCTGACCTGTGCTGGGCTGTGCTGACCTGTGCTCTGCTGACCTGTGCTGTGCTGTGCTGTGCTGACCTGTGCTGACCCGTGTTAGGCTGTGCTGTGCTGACCTGTGCTGTGCTGACCTGTGCTGTGCTGTGCTGACCTGTGCTGTGCTGACCCGTGTTAGGCTGTGCTGTGCTGACCTGTGCTGTGCTGACCTGTGCTGTGCTGTGCTGACCTGTGCTGTGCTGACCTGTGCTGGGCTGTGCTGTCCTGTGCTGTGCTGACCTGTGCTGACCGGTGTTAGGCTGTGCTGTCCTGTCCTGTCCTGTCCTGTCCTGTCCTGTGCTGTCCTGTCCTGTCCTGTCCTGTGCTGTCCTGTCATGAGCTGTGCTGTGCTGTGCTGTACTGTGCTGGACTGGGCTATCCTGTGCTGGGCTGTGATGACCTGTGCTGTGCTGGACTGTGTTGTGCTATCCTATGCTGTCCTGTCCTGTGCTGGGCTAGGCTGTGCTGACTTGTGCTGGGCTGTGCTCTTCTGACCTGTGCTGTGCTGGGCTGTGCTGTTCTGACCTGTGCTGTGCTGGGCTGGACTGTGCTGTGCTGGACTGTGTAGTGCTGTGCTGACATGTGTTGGACTGTGCTATGCTGACCTGTGTTGGGCTCTGCTGACTTGTGCTGGGCTGACCTGTATTGGGCTGTGCTGGGGTATGCTGACCTGTATTGGGCTGTGCTGGGCTGTGCTGACTGGTGCTGGGCTGTGCTGTGTTGGGCTGTGCTGACCTGTGCTGACCTGTGCTGTGCTGGGCTGTGCTGACCTGTGCTGTGTCGGGCTGTGCTGACCTGTGCTGGGCTGTGCTGACCTGTGCTGTGTCGGGCTGTGCTGACCTGTGCTGGGCTGTGCTGTCCTGTGCTGGGCTGTGCTGTCCTGTGCTGGGCTGTACTTTGCTGACCTGTGCTGTGTTGTGCTGGGTTGTGCTGACCTGTGCTGTGCTGACCTGTGCTGTGTTGGGCTGTGCTGACCTGTGCTGTGCTGACCTGTGCTGGGCTGTGCTGACCTGTGCTGTGCTGACCCGTGCTGTGCTGACCTGTGCTGTGCTGACCCGTGCTGTGCTGGGCTGTGCTGACCCGTGCTGTGCTGACCTGTGCTGTGCTGACCTGTGCTGTGCTGACCTGTGCTGTGCTGACCTGTGCTGTGCTGACCGTGCTGTGCTGTGCTGACCTGTGCTGACCTGTGCTGTGCTGACCTGTGCTGACCTGTGCTGTGCTGACCCGTGCTGTGCTGGGCTGTGCTGACCTGTGCTGTGCTGACCTGTGCTGGGCTGTGCTAACCTGTGCTGGGCTGTGCTGTCCTGTGCTGGGCTGTGCTGTCCTGTGCTGTCCTGTGCTGGGCTGTGCTGTCCTGTGCTGGGCTGTGCTGGCTGTGCTGACCTGTGCTGTGTTGTGCTGGGCTGACCTGTGCTGTGCTGTGCTGACCTGTGCTGTGTTGTGCTGACCTGTGCTGGGCTGTGCTGACCCGTGCTGTGCTGGGCTGTGCTGACCCGTGCTGTGCTGGGCTGTGCTGACCTGTGCTGTGCTGACCCGTGCTGTGCTGGGCTGTGCTGTGCTGACCCATGCTGTGCTGACATGTGCTGTGCTGTGCTGACCTGTGCTGTGCTGACATGTGCTGGGCTGTGCTGACCTGTGCTGTGCTGACCCGTGCTGTGCTGACCTGTGCTGACCTGTGCTGACCTGTGCTATGCTGACCGTGCTGTGCTGACCTGTTCTGGGCTGTGCTGACCGGTGTTAGGCTGTGCTGTGCTGACCTGTGCTGTGCTGACCTGTGCTGTGCTGACCTGTGCTGACCCGTGCTGTGCTGACCTGTGCCATGCTGACCGTGCTGTGCTGACCTGTTCTGGGCTGTGTTGACCGGTGTTAGGCTGTGCTGTGCTGACCTGTGCTGTGCTGACCTGTGCTGTGCTGACCTGTGCTGTGCTGACCTGTGCTGTGCTGACCTGTGCTGTCCTGTGCTGTGCTGACCTGACCTGTGCTGACCTGACCTGTGCTGAGCTGACCTGTGCTGTGCTGACCTGACCTGTGCTGACCTGACCTGTGCTGAGCTGTGCTGACCTGACCTGTGCTGGGCTGTGCTGACCTGTGCTCTGCTGACCTGTGCTGTGCTGACCTGTGCTGACCCGTGTTAGGCTGTGCTGTGCTGACCTTTGCTGTGCTGACCTGTGCTGTGCTGACCTGTGCTGTGCTGACCCGTGTTAGGCTGTGCTGTGCTGACCTGTGCTGTGCTGGGCTGTGCTGTCCTGTGCTGTGCTGACCTGTGCTGACCGGTGTTAGGCTGTGCTGTCCTGTCCTGTCCTGTGCTGTCCTGTCCTGTCCTGTCCTGTCCTGTCCTGTCCTGTCCTGTGCTGTGCTGTCCTGTCATGAGCTGTGCTGTGCTGTACTGTGCTGGACTGGGCTATCCTGTGCTGGGCTGTGATGACCTGTGCTGTGCTGACCTGTGCTGACCGGTGTTAGGCTGTGCTGTCCTGTCCTGTCCTGTGCTGTCCTGTGCTGTCCTGTCCTGTGCTGTGCTGTGCTGTCCTGTCATGAGCTGTGCTGTGCTGTGCTGTACTGTGCTGGACTGGGCTATCCTGTGCTGGGCTGTGATGACCTGTGCTGTGCTGGACTGTGTTGTGCTATCCTATGCTGTCCTGTCCTGTGCTGGGCTAGGCTGTGCTGACTTGTGCTGGGCTGTGCTGTTCTGACCTGTGCTGTGCTGGGCTGTGTAGTGCTGTACTGACATGTGTTGGACTGTGCTATGCTGACCTGTATTGGGCTGTGCTGGGCTGTGCTGACTGGTGCTGGGCTGTGCTGTGTTGGGCTGTGCTGACCTGTGCTGACCTGTGCTGTGCTGGGCTGTGCTGACCTGTGCTGTGTCGGGCTGTGCTGACCTGTGCTGGGCTGTGCTGTCCTGTGCTGGGCTGTACTTTGCTGACCTGTGCTGTGTTGTGCTGTGCTGACCTGTGCTGTGTTGTGCTGGGTTGTGCTGACCTGTGCTGTGCTGACCTGTGCTGTGTTGGGCTGTGCTGACCTGTGCTGTGCTGACCTGTGCTGACCTGTGCTGTGCTGACCGTGCTGTGCTGTGCTGACCTGTGCTGACCTGTGCTGTGCTGACCTGTGCTGACCTGTGCTGTGCTGACCCGTGCTGTGCTGGGCTGTGCTGTGCTGACCTGTGCTGTGCTGACCTGTGCTGGGCTGTACTGACCTGTTCTGGGCTGTGCTGTGCTGACCCGTGTTAGGCTGTGCTGTGCTGTACTGACCTGTGCTGTGCTGACCTGTGCTGTGCTGTGCTGACCTGTGCTGTGCTGTGCTGACCTGTGCTGTGCTGTGCTGACCTGTGCTGTGCTGACCTGTGCTGTGCTGACCTGTTCTGGGCTGTGCTGACCTGTGCTGTGCTGTGCTGACCCGTGTTAGGCTGTGCTGTGCTGTACTGACCTGTGTTGGGCTCCGGATCCCAAGTCCTCGATCCTCTTCTCGATCGCTACTGGGAAACTGCACCTCAGGGGCTGCCGACGTGGCGCCCCGACCCCGCCCCCGATACTGACCCCGCCCCCGCCCAGCCCCCCGCCCCGCCCCCGATACTGACCCCGCCCCCCGCCCCGCCCCCGATACTGACCCCGCCCCCGGCCCCGCCCCCCGACCCCGCCCCCGATACTGACCCCGCCCCCGGCCCCGCCCCCGATACTGACCCCGCCCCCGGCCCCGCCCCCGATACTGACCTCGCCCCCGGCCCCGCCCCCCGCCCCCGATACTGACCCCGCCCCCCGCCCCGCCCCCGATACTGACCCCGCCCCCGGCCCCGCCCCCGATACTGACCCCGCCCCCCGCCCCGGCCCCGGCCCCGCCCCCGGCCCCGCCCCCGATACTGACCCCGCCCCCGGCCCCGCCCCCGATACTGACCCCGCCCCCAGGCCCAGACCCCGCCCCCCGGCCCCGCCTCCCGGCCCCGACCCCGCCTCCCGACCCCGCGTCCCGGCCCCCAGCCCCCGGCCCCGCCCCCGATACTGACCCCGCCCCGACGCTGCCCCCGCCCCCACACCCGGCCCCGCCCCCGGCACTGGCCACGCCCCCCAGCCCTGCTCCCGCCCCCCGGCCACGCCCCCCGGCCCAGTCTCCCCCCCTCCGTCCTGGTCCCGACCCCTCACCCCCCGACCCCGCCCCCTCAATCCCGGGCCACGCCCCTTACACACCGGCCCCGCCCCTTCACACCGCGGTCCCGCCCTCTCTCTCAGGCCCCGCCCCCTCCGGGCAAACAGAGGGATTTGGGTGTCCTTGTACACCAGTGCCAAAAAGTTAGTTTGCAGGTGCAGCAGCAACTAAGAAGGCGAACGGCAGTTAGCGTTCATTGCAAAAGGTTTAGAGTACAAGAGTAGGGAAGTCTCGCTGCAACTGTATAGGGCTTTGGTGAGACCGCACCGAGAGTATTGTGTGCAGTTTTGGTCCTTATTTACAAAAGGACATACTTGCCCTCGAGGGGGTGCAGCGTAGATTCACTCGGTTAGTGCCTGGGATGAGGGGATTGACCTATGAGGAGAGGCTGAATAAACGAGGGCTGTATTCTCTATAGAGTACAGAAGAATTAGTGGAGATCTTATTGAAACATATAAGATTCTTAAAGGGCTGATAAAGTAGACACTGAGGGTCTGTTTCCCCGGTGGGAGAATCTATAACCGGGGTCACAGTCTGAAAATTAAGGGTCAGCCTTTTAGAACAGAGTTGAGGAAACATTTCTTCACTCAGAGGGCAGTGACTTTATGGAATCCACTCCCCCAGAAGGCTGTAGATGTCAGTCCTTGAACATCTTCAAGGCTGAGACTGATAGATTTTTAAAAACAGAGGGATTAGGGGATATGGGGATAGAGCAGGTAATTAGAGTTAGGTCAGAAGATCAGCCATGATCTTATCGAATGGCGGGGCAGCTCGAGGGGCCGAATGGCCGACTCCTGCTCCTAATTCTTATGTTCTTATGTAGCACAGTCTTTGCCAAAGGATAATTTAAAGAAATAATAATAATAAAAATGTAATAAAAATAATAATAAAAATGTAATAATAAAAACTCAACCTGTCCTGTTTGTGGGCGGCTGCTGTGCACAATTGGCTGCCGTATTTCACCCACTAAATATGCAGTCAATTCACTTTACAGTGTATCTCGGGAAGCGCTTTGAGACATCTGGAAGATGTGACGAGGCTCTGTGTGAAACGCAAGGATTATTATTGTTATAATTCATCCCTTCACCTCCCTCATTCATCGCTGAACTCAGACACATTTGCGCACAGTTTCACAGCCTCATATTAATTCAAGTCACCCTGTTGGAGCTTTTCCTTTATTTTTGAGCCAGTTTTCTCAACCAGGCTCCGTGACCCCATCACTCCCACCCTCACCAGACCCCATCATTCCCACCCTCGCCCGACTCCACTGGCTCCCCATCCCCCAGAGGATCGAGCTCAAGATCCTCGTCCTCACTTTCAAGGCCATCCATGGCCTCGCCCCCTCCTACCTCTCTGACCTGCTGACCCCCTACCAACCTGCCCACTCCCTCCGTTCATCGGGCTCCGGTCTGCTCCATGTCTCCCGCCCTACCATCGGTGGCCGGACTTTCAGCCTCTCTGCCCCCACACTCTGGAGCTCCATCCCACGGTTCCTTCCCCTCGCTTCCTTCCTTGCCTTCTTCAAGGCCGGTCTCAATCGTGCCTTTGGTCGCCCTCCCACCCCTCTGCCTTCTCTCACCCCTACTCTGCCCCTCCCCCATGCTTGGGTCCTGACCACTGACTGTCCAGCGCCTTGGGACGTCCTCCCGACGTGAAAGGCGCTCTATAAATATAATTTGTTGTTGTTGCAATGGGTTTCTGAATATGTCAGGCCCCCACCTGACTAAAACTAACTGCTATCTGTAAACAGAAGATATTTCAACATCGGTAATAAATAAGATTGCATTCTGAGATAGATGGGAAAATACTTTAAACATCACCAACTGAAGTTGTACTTTACCCTTTAACTGTTGAACTTAAGAATCAAGCTGGAGAAAAGATTAATGGATTAAGTTTTGCTGATAGAAATGACAAAGTTTGGTGACTCTTGAGTTGTCATTTATTAATTGTTTTAGTGACATCTTCTGATATGGCAGTACTGCAGCGACTCTATTCATTCATTCCAATGTCAAACAGACTGGGTGTGTCTCAACACTTTTTAAATATTGTACTTCTTAGTGAGATTTCTCATTATAATAAATAATATAATAATCCTTTATTATAATAATTTGATATAGCCCCTCGTCACGTCATAGAGACGTCTCAAAACGCTTCCTAGAATAAACTGTGAAAAGCAAGGACTGTATTTTATGGGCAAAATGAGGCAGCAATTGCGCATAGCAGTGTCCCACAAACAGGTGTTATTAATTATTGCTTATTATTGATTATTACTTGTTAATTATTTATTATCATTTATTATTGTTTATAATTATTTTGATTGTCATTAATTAGTATTATTATGCATAGAAAAGGATCATCAGTCCAATTGATTTGGCGAGCAGTAGGCCTTTAGTCATAAGTGACGAGAATATCAATAATCCATTGTGTAGTCAGCAGCTGTAAATAGAAGTCGGTTGCTCTGTTAGTCAAATAGGACTCGGCCTCACTGTCCAAACCAGTGGCCACTGGCCGGCCGCACGTGACCATTTTGCTTTTCAAATGCGCTTTTCACTTACACATTGATGAATCAACTTGTGTTTCACCTAAAAAATAGAATATGGCTCCCTGCCTTACCTCCTTCAAGATCCTCCTCTTTGACAGCACCTTCAGTCACCCTCCTACACCTCCGCTCACTGCCCTCCACCCCTCCTGTTCCCAATTCCTCTGCTTGGGTCCAAATCCATGACTGTCCATGGCCTTGGGATATCCTCCCGACATGATCGGTGCTGTGTAAATGTAATTTGCTGTTGTAGACCCCAGAATCACTCACTATATGTGATCCCACACTCATGATTACATGTTAATGTCCATGCTTGGTCCTGATTGTCTGGTTACACCTCTCAGACATAACGGTTGCCTTCCGTCGTGTGTTGGTGGTCAGTTGCTGGTATAGTGGTTCTGTCAGGCAGTTGCTGTGCTCGTAACTCAATCAGTCATGTTGTCTACTTGTGGAGTCTTTGGAGCACTCGCCTCGCGCGAGAGGACCCGGGTTTGATTCCCGGGCCGAGCGATACGTTTGGCAAGTTTCCTTACTCCGCACGTCTCTGTTTACCAGCAGTAAGTACAAACCTGGTGGTTAGTTGATTGGGGGAATCGTTTTTCCGGGAGTACTAATCGCTTGAAAAAAAATGAATAAAATAAATAATAATTCGGTCACTCAATCCCCGACTGTCTGTGGGACACCACTGTACGCAATCGGCTGCTGCGTTTCACCCACAACATACACAGGCAATTCACATTACAGTATATCCTGTGAAGCGCTTTGAGACGTCTGGAAGACGTGATGAGTCGCTGTGTCAAATGCGAGGATTATTAGCATTATTTCCAGAAATATTGTAAAACGGATGTTGTTTTGGACGCTCTGTGTGTATTGTACCGACACCACAGCTGTGACCACCGCGTCTCGAACGTTCGTTGGTGGAACCTTTGCCCAAATCACAATCTGGAGCCAAACGCCAGGGACGGCACAGCTGGAATACCGGGACCCGGCGGTCCATCACACCCTGTGGCAACGCCGCCAGAGTGGGGGCTTTCGATGGACAGTCGTTATGGTGACGGGGCGGCGCGGGGTTGATGGACAGTCGCTATGGTGACGGGGCGGCGCGGGGCTGATGGACAGTCGCTATGGTGATGGGGCGGTGCTGGGGGTTGATGGACAGTCGCTATGGTGATGGGGCGGTGCTGGGGGTTGATGGACAGTCGCTATGGTGATGGGGCGGCGCGGGGCTGATGGACAGTCGCTATGGTGATGGGGCGGTGCTGGGGGTTGATGGACAGTCGCTATGGTGACGGGGCGGCGCGGGGCTGATGGACAGTCGCTATGGTGACGGGGCGGCGCTGGGGGTTGATGGACAGTCGCTATGGTGACGGGGCGGCGCGGGGCTGATGGACAGTCGCTATGGTGACGGGGCGGTGCTGGGGGTTGATGGACAGTCGCTATGGTGACGGGGCGGCCCTGGGGGCTGATGGGCAGTTGTCAGGGTTACCGGAGCCGGGGGGCGGGGCCAGGAGCAGACTCTCCGGGAGAAGATGAAGGATCCGGTCGGATTCCTAAGGCGGCAGCAGGAGGCGGAGAGCGAGGAGGGAACCGAGCGCTGGGGCCGCATGGAGTCCTTCTACACCAGGAGGTGATGAGGCCCTCGGGGGGTGGGGAGGGGGATATTGGAGGGGAGAGGGACTTTGGAGTGGTGGGAGATATTGGAGGGGAGGGGGATATTGGAGGGGAGGGGGATATTGGAGGGGAAGGGGATATAGGAGGGGAGGGGAATATTGGAGGGGAGGGGGATATAGGATGGGAAGAGAATATTGGAGGGGAGGGGGATATAGGAGGGGAAGGAAATATTGGAGGGGAAGGCGATATTGGAGAGGAGGGGAAGGAGATATTGGAGGGGAAGGGGATATAGGAGGGGAAGGGAATATTGGAGGGGAGGGGGATATAGGATGGGAAGAGAATATTGGAGGGGAGGGGGATATAGGGGGGGAAGGGAATATTGGAGGGGAGGGGGATATAGGGGGGGAAGGGAATATTGGAGGGGAGGGGGATATAGGATGGGAAGAGAATATTGGAGGGGAGGGGGATATAGGGGGGGAAGGGAATATTGGAGGGGAGGGGATATAGGGGGGGAAGGGAATATTGGAGGAGAGGGGGATATAGGGGGGGAAGGGAATATTGGAGGAGAGGGGGATATAGGGGGGAAGGGAATATTGGAGGGGAGGGGGATATAGGGGGGGAAGGGAATATTGGAGGAGAGGGGGATATAGGGGGGGAAGGGAATATTGGAGGGGAGGGGGATATAGGGGGGGAAGGGAATATTGGAGGAGAGGGGGATATAGGGGGGGAAGGGAATATTGGAGGGGAGGGGGATATAGGAGGGGAAGAGAATATTGGAGGGGAGGGGGGATATAGGAGGGGAAGGGAATATTGGAGGAGAGGGGGATATAGGATGGGAAGGGAATATTGGAGGGGGGGGGGGATATAGGAGGGGAAGGGAATATTGGAGGAGAGGGGGATATAGGAGGGGAAGGGATATTGATGAGGAGGTGGATATTGGGATATGGGAGGGGAGGGGGCTTATTGGAGGGGAGGGTCATTGGAGGGGAGGGGGTTGTCGGAGGGGAAGGAGATATTGGAGGGGAGGGTGATATTGGGATATTAGAGGGGTGGAGGATATTGGGGTATTGGAAGGGACGGAAGAAGGAAGGACTAAGGGGTTTGATGCACGTGTGTCCGGAACCTCAATTTACTGTACATTGCAGCATGAATTGGGAGTTCCTGTCGAGGACTCTCGCGGTGGTACATAAATGCAAGGAGTTGTTGCAGCGGTGGTTCAGACATTGGTTGGAAGGTCATACGCACATCTATCTGCCTAATTAAAGGGGCAAAGTTTTTTGCCCTGTCACTAACTTTTATTAACCTGCCAACATACTGATAATATTTCTCTTTTAACCTCCTGTTCTGTATGTGTTTATGTATTGGCTGGGGTAGTCTGGCCTAGGAAACCATTTATTTTCCTGAAAGAATGCAAATAATAATAATCCTTGCATTTGATATAGCGCCTCATCGCGTCTTCGAGAATATACTGTAAAGTGAATTAATTGTATATTTTGAGGACGAAATGCGGCAGCCAATTGCCAAATGAAGTAATTGATCGAACCTGCTCCTGAAGGACAGTGCAGGAACCAGAATTTTAATTCTTATTAACTCATCGTTGGACCTAATTTCTTAAAAGCTCTCGTTTGTCACTATGTTCCTCTGGAACACACACTCCCTCTCATTGCATGCTGCGATATACAGGGCTGTCTGTCCACAGGTGTTTTGTTACGCCCTGTTACAAAACAGCTGATATGAGACTACAGAGGAGCTGAAAAAAGCCGTCACAGATGCATTTTGCTTTGTCACTCCATCCATGTTACAGAAGATGTTGCACCAAACATGTTGACAGATCATTACTTACCATGAAAATGATGGCACTCATTCACACTGAACCCCTGGATGTATAAATATTTAATACAAATATAATACACTTGTACTGAATACAATTAAGTGCTTCTAAATGCATGTTTCAGTTCTTGGTTCAGTGCACTTCAGGCGGGAAAAAACATGGGGGTAACATGACTTTGTGTACGCCCTGTACAGTAAATGTTTTTTCTGATGCTGCGAAAGTCACACACCCATCAAATCTTTACAAACCCCATGAAATTTCACCCCCCCCCCCCCCCCACCTACAGTCCCCTCTTTCATTTCCCCAATCGCCCATTCACTCTGTTTTGTTCCTTGGTTTCAAAACCCTGCAAAAAAACACTATTGCATTGAATGTCCTGTCGTTCATAGGATCATAGAATTATACAGCACAGAAGGAGGCCATTTGGTCCATCATGTCTGTGCTAACTCTTTGAAAAGAGCTTCCAATTCAACCCCACTCCCCGATCTCTCCCCGTAGCCCTGCAAACTTGTCCTCCTCAGTTTTGTGCATTCAACCCAATTTTACTCCTTGCTACTATGCTTGATATTGTACACAGTCACTGTAACATGATATTATTCCTATGCGAAAAGAGCTATGTAAGTATGTTTGTTGCAAGTTTTGTACCAGTCTGCTGGACAGAATAGTTTCTTTGCGTCTGGTCTGCAGCTTTAACCCTTTGTTTTCATTCAGGCTCTGGCATCAGCTCACTGTGGAATTGCTGGAGTTCACACTGACCCCATCCTTTGCCTCAGGAGATAATCTATTAAAGGTAAGATAGAAACAATCCATACCATTAGAATTGTCCTTTGGGTGATTAAGTAAGTGTAAAATGCTTCATCAGCATTGCACACAGCACAATTGGGTGCATTGATCCATCATTGGAAAAATAGCCACTTCCTGAAATCACGCAGTAAATCTTGGTTTCACACAGCCCCTTTGATATTTAAATGGCTTAAAGCACTCCTACACTATATTGGGGTGCTTTATAAATGCAAGTTGTTGTAGGCAAAAACAGCAGCCAATTTTGCAAACGTAAAGATCCCACAAAATGACAAAATGACAAAATTTCTGGAAAGATTACGGCCAGGTTACTGGTGGCAGAAGGCCTCTTGTGTACTCTTGTGGTGTGGACTTACAGCTGTTCAGATACAGCTTGTCCAATTAGCAGGGGTCACGGTCTGGATAGTTTTAGTGCTTTGGGTTACGACGGGTTCTGGTGTGTAAGTAGTCAGTAAGTAGCTCTCCATTTGGGGGATGTATTCTGTATAAAAAAAGTTCTTCAGCGCATTGAAAGGTGCAAGCTACGTTGCCTTCATGCCGCCTAGTGCTGTTCTCTAGTGCTCCAGTTACAGCATTATGAGCAGCTAATACAAGACATGACACATTGTACAGTGCTTTGTGAGAGGAGAGGGACAAATAAAAAAAACACATAATGTAGTGCGACGTATTGGAACATTTCTACAACTTAAGTATTTTGGGGTCATACATCTATCCTTTAACAATCTAGAGGGTTAGATGGCAGTTTGTGGGCCAGACTCCACCACATTTGCTGTTAATAATAATAATCCTTGCATTTTGATACAGCACGTCATCGCTTTTTTGAGATGTCTCAAAATGCTTCACAGAATATACTGTAAACAACAACATTACATGTGTAAAGCACTTTTCATGTCAGCAGGATGTCCCAAGTCGCCGGACAGACTGAGTTACGGACCCGAGCTGGGGATCGGTGCCAGGGAGTGTGGAGGGCGGGCGGGGGGGAAGCAGGGAGATTGAAAGCACGGTCGAAGAGGAGGGTCTTGAGATGGGACTTGAAGGTGGCTAGGGAAGGGGGTGAGACGTAGGCACTGTGGGATGGAGTTCCAGAGCGTGGGTGCAGAGTGGCGGAAGGTCAGCCAGCCGATAGTGGGGCGAAGAAGGCAGAGGACGTGAAGCAGACAAGAGCCCGCTGAGCAGAGGGAGCAAACGGTGGTAGAGGGTTAGGAGGTTGGAGAGGCTGGGGAGCAAGACAGTGGAGGGCTTTGAAGGTGAGGACCAGGATCTTGAACTATATCCTCTGTGTGATGGGAAGTCAGTGGAGTTGGGCGAGGATGGGGGTGATAGTGTCACGGAGCCTGGTGCGGGAGAGTACACGGGCTGCAGAGTTCTGGATGATCTGTAGCCTGCAGAGGGAGGAGTTGGAGAGGCCGACAAGCAGTGAGTTTGCATAGTCGAACCTTGATGTAATGAAAGCGTGTATGAGAGTTTCGGCGCCCTGAGAGTGTTGGAGCCGGGTGACTTTGCGGAGGTGGGGAAGGCAGAGCAGGTCATGGTGCAGATGTGGGGTAGAAAGGATAGTTGAGGGTCAAACAAGACCCCAACACTTGCGGCGAGAGTAGGGGATGGGGCAGTCAGAGTGGCTGTTGTTGGACAGCCAGCGGCGACTACCAAGGTGGGTCTGATGGAGGATTTGCTGACTGGAGCAAAGGGAGGCTGTGGGGCGGTCGAGCAGGAATAGGAGTCGGGGAGGGCAGTGGGAAAGGAGGACCGAGCGGGAGTAATAGAGGATAGAGGACACGGGTGGGGCCACTATGAGGAAGCAGCTTGGGTCGGTGGCAGCAGCCAAAATGCGCATGCCGAGACTAAGAGCGAACGATGGGGGTGGGGGTTCAGCGAGGCATGGTTAGCCCACCGGTGAGCGTCATCACGTGGAGAGGGGACAGTATTATAGTCTCAGTCCGTCCAGGCTGAGAGATTCAAATGTGGCGGGTAGATGTGACGTCACGCGGCAGCCGGGCTCTGGTTGTTGACCAGGAGAGTCTGCGATGGCTGTGGTGGCGAATTTCACGATGGCTCCCCGCAGCTCGGTGGGTGGGCCTCGGTCTCCAGGTTGGATCAAGGCGCCGTTTGGGACATCAGACTCCACGCCGGTTCTGGCCTCGAACCCTGTTCGGCGTCGCTCATGGAAGTCATCTCGGTCCTGTTCCAAGGCCATCCACAATGGGAGGCTTCGGATCCACCAACTCGTGCTCTCCCCCGCTCAGCTCTATTGGGACTCCGATTGAGCCCACCTACCAGGATTACGGAAAACAGGATTGTTTTCCCCCAGTTTGTGCAATCGTGTGTGGCCTCCACACGACTCCAGCCTCCAGCACGTCGCCATTTTAGTGCCATTTAGTGTAAAGTGAATTGACTGTTTTTGTGGGTGAAACGCAGCACCCAATTGCAGCCAATCTAAGCCGAACACACCTGGATTAAGTGACCACATTTTTTTATTGATTATTATTGATGTCTTTTTAATCGTTCCCCTCCTCCCATTTTCCCCTCATCCCATGTTATGATTCTGTGATTGTTGAAGTAGAAATGTAATTTAGTTATTATATTGGATTACTCGAACTTGTCATCGGCCACCCCCCCCTTCTTCTCCCTCCCTTCTCCCGCCCTGACCCCAGCTCGGGTCTGAAATGCTGTCACTGTCCAGCGCCTTGGGACGTCCTCCCGACGTGAAAGGCGCTATACAAATGTAATCTTGTTTTTGTTGTTATTGTTGGATTACATGTAAAATACAATAGGCAAATGTCCCAATGAGCCACAACATCGCCCGGCTCCGCCACTGTCTCATACCGCAGGCTGCCGAAACCCTGATACACGCTTTCATAACATCCAGGCTCGACTAAGCAAACTCCCTGCTTGTCAGCCCCCCAACTCCTCGCTCCACAGGCTGCAGATCATCCAGAACTCTGCAGCCCGTGTCCTCTCCCGCACCAGGCTCCGTGACCCTATCACCCCCATCCTCGCCCGACTCCACTGGCTTCCCATCACACAGAGGATACAGTTCCAGATCCTGGTCCTCATCTTCAAAGCCCTCCATGGCCTTCTCCCCCCTACCTCTGTGACCTCCCAACCTTCTACCAACCTGCCTGCTCCCTTCCGCTCAGCGGGCTCCGGCCTGCTTCACGTCCCCTGTCTTGCTTGCCCCATCATTGGTGGGTGGGCCTTCTGCCATTCTGCCCCCACCCTCTGGAACTCTGTCCCGCAGTCCCTCCGCCTCACTTCTTCCCTCGCCACCTTCAAGACCATTCTCAAGACCTTCCTCTTCGACCGTACTTTTGATCACCCTCCTCCAACCCCCCCCTCCGCCCTTCACTCCGATCCCGATCCCCCGCTCGGGTCCGAAACTCTGACACCTTGGGACGTCCTCCCCACGTGAAAGGCGGGCTACAAATGTAATTTTGTTGTTGTTGCATTTATATAGTGTCTTTCACATTAGGAGGAAATCTCAATGCTTAACATCGCTACTTGCCTGGGCTCTGAGCTGGAGGTGGAAGCAGAAGTAGGTGGGGAGGGGAAAGTGCTGTCAAATATAATGTATAGACAATAAATATAAATAGTTACTTAAACACCACATTGAACTGTTCTTGCTTATGGTTTAGTGGTTAGAGCACTTGCAAGCGAGAGGACTTGGAAAGTTTCCTTACTTCACACCCCTCTGTTTACCGAGTAGTAAATAGGAACCTGGTTGTTAATGTTAATAATTCGACAGGCAGCGGTAAGAGTATAGAGTTTATTGCATAAGATGAAACATAATGTTTAAGAATCTGTAATCAAATTATACCACATATAACAACACAATAACTGTACAACACTTCTATGTGAGCAAAACATTTACCACACAGCATGTACACAGGGTTTGCTCAGTACTCCAGACAAACAACACACCTCAAACTACACAGCAGAGATCAGCCCTTGGAAATCCCTCAGGGACAACTGATTCTCGCAATCTGAAGGCTGCCCAGTACTCCAGACTGACACGCGTGTCTGGGCCTCACTTCGTACTCCAAACGAACGGTACCCGATACTACACTTTGACGAACCTCCGCGAGATCAGCCTCTAGAATTACCCCTCAGAGACAACTGACTCTCATAAAACCAACACTAAACTGGGACTGGCGTCCGGTAAACCCTCGGACCGCAACGTTCATACACATTAACAGTAGCACTGACGATAGAGGAACAACAACACATATCCAGGCACTGTTTCATACTCCAGACCAAACAGTAGACCTGGGATCACACCTTGACACACACTGAAGAGATCACAGAACTATCACACAGCATCACAGAGAGTGGCTCCTGTAACTCAACAGAAACAATTAGCTCTTAGCCCAGCACCTCACTCGTGCTACCGACCACTACTCTTTCACTTTTAATGGTCACTTTCTTATTGGAGGTAAATTCCCTCACCCCTGTACATATACATAGATGCAGTAGAATTGATATCGATTCCACTGGGATATGTGATGACCCTCTACACAACTATTTCAAAGTTACATCTTTCTTTTATGTGTTTCTAACTCCCAACTCCCCATGTCACAGAGATAGCCCCCACCCTTCACAGGCTGCTTTGCAGAGAGAGAGATATGGACAACTTCTGGGCAGCCTGCATGTTTCTCAACCGTGAGATAGGCAGGTGTCTGAGGCTGCAGGACTTTCTTTCTGTGGTCCATTTTTCTTATATCTAGGCTCAAGGACCCGATCGCTCATTATCTCAGAGGAGTGAACATCTTCTCAGGAAAATATGAAATGTAATCAGAAGCTGACCTCAGCCCGTCCAGCAAAGCTACTTTACCATTTAACTATCAAACCTTCTGGAACATTCGGTTGCTGTTAGACCAATGTATCCTGAGATGATAGACAGTATATTCAACGTTAATCAATTGGTGGATCGCTTTTCCGGGGGTAATAATCCTTTCAAAAATGTTAAAAATAATGTTAATTTGATCACTGTTTGTGGGATGCTGCTGTGCGCAATTGGTTGCCGCTTCTTGCCCACAAAATATACAGTCAATTTACTCACAGTATATTTTGTGAAGTGCTTTGAGATGTCTCGAAGACGTGATAAGATGTTATATCAAATGCAAAGATTATTATTGTTTACTATTATATTCAACATCCTCCTTGTCTGTCTGTGCTGATTTTGAGCTGGGTGTGCAGCAGGAATGGAAGGAACTCTTAAGTGGAGAATGATCTGAGAATATGTCTGGTACACTGTCCCATTCAACTGATAATGGAAATCCATCGGAGCGTTCTGCTTCCTGAACAGACCTCATGTGGTATTCAACAGGAGTGCCTTTGGTCTTCCAAGTGCAGTGGAAGCAGGTTAAGCCGAACACATCGGGAATGGCGGTTTTGTCCGGCTTAAGAGGTGTCCGAGGTTAGCCGAAATACCATTGCTGCCCAGCAGAGGAGCTGTAGCGGCTCTGTATAATAATATGTAATAATGTTGTTTCAGTTGAAGCAATGTTAACTAACTTTGTAAAGTTAAAAGTCTTTCACAGAATTCAGTAACATATAGTTACCTTTGTTTGGCACAAAATACTTTCCCGCCAGCAGAGGAGCAGAGCTTCCTCCCTCACGTTGCCGTTCCCACTGGATGGGAAGGGGCCCAGTTAGCGGTGGTCTGCCTGTGCTGGATTGACAGCCTGCAGCAGCTTGTGAATGGATGGGCTCCAGTCATTCACAAGGGGCTCAGCTGTCAATCAATTGTGATTTAACTCCTCCCATTCCCTCCCTTGTTTTTCCCGTTCCTCCGCCCCCTCGCTGATTGACAGCCCAACTCCACCCACTTGTGAATGGCTGGAGTCTGCTGTCCATCAATCTTAGACTCTTCCCAGAATGGAGGTGGGAAGAGTCTAAGATTGATGGACAGCAGACTCCAGAGTGAATGGAGCCACGCAACACACAGAAGGTCCAAGTGAGTATGTTCAGCAGTGACCAGATTTTGCCAAGATTAACTGACATACTTAAAACGGATAAGATTACAAATGAATCGGGATGGGATGTTTTGCTCAATTTACCTGACGTCCGGGTTAACTGGGGTCCATCAAAAGGGGATTTCACTCTACTGTACGTTTTTTTAGTCAACTGGGTGTCCGACACACGTGGAAACTCACCACCGGGCTTAAGAATATCCAAACTAGACTGAGCATTTTTTATTCACGCTAACGACACATGGTGATTCCCGTGTTTGAAATGGAATGCACGTGCTCTCCCTGGGTGGCTTTCTGCTTACCTAATTCTGGAAATTGTTAGACACAGGTTGACAAGAGCCAAGACTTAGGGACCCCCGAGTATGTTTAGGGAGTATTTTAGGATACTGTTGGAGTTTAACCAGCTGAACATATCAAACAAGCAATATATGTGGTTTTGTAGCAATCATTGGATGATTAAACGTACATATGGTGAAATATGACATCCTGTTATGTTGAACACACACAATATAACCTTATCTTTTCTGTTTTGCAGCTGTACGACAACTTCATCAGTGACTTTGAGCACAGGTACGTATTTAACTCAGTTAGCATTGCGGTTGATACCACTATCTTCAGCCAACTTACCTCAGCTCTCTGGAACTCTCTTCCTAAGTTCTTCTGTCTTGCACCCTCCCTCTCTGCTTCTAAAAATTTTAGTGAGTCTCCCAAAAAATGTCACCTATTTTACACCCCTCTGCTGAGGCTCCCATTTGTCTCTTTGAGGTACTTTATGATGCTTAACAACAAATTTGTATAGCACTTTTCACGAAGGGAAGATGTCCTAAGGCGCTGGACAGTCAGTGATTTGGACCTGAGCAGGTGGTTGGGATCTGGAGGGATTGAGGGCAGGGAGGATAGCGGTAAGATGATGACTGAAGGCACGGTCAAAGAGGAGGGTCTTGAAGGAGGCAAGGAAGAGCAAAGCGAAAGGACTGTGGGATGGGCACATTAACCATGTGAAAGGCACGATATAAGTACAACTTGTTGATTACTGTAGTGATGTCATATGCTCACCGTCCTACAAGTTCAATATTTTATATTTAAAAAAATTGTAATTGTGCACATAGGAAGCTCAGGACAGATTATTTTAGACTGTTTATTGTTCTTGATCAGCCATGGTTGAACCCTCCTCAAAACATGTGAACATTTGGACTTAGGAACCTTGTTCTTAGAGTTCTTGAGAAGCTGTTGAGTGATTTAGCTGGGAAGGGGAGAGGGGGCTGAATGATGGAGTGTGATTCCTTGTCCAAGACTGTCAAAATTAACACCAATGGCTGAGAACTAATTAGGCATTCTGACTGAAACATGATGATCTGGAGATGTACCTTTTGTGATTGGGAGTTTGAGGATGGCGTGGGCCACAAAGTATACAGTCAATTCACTTTACAGTGTATCCTATGAAGCTCTTTGAGACGTCTCGAAGACGTGATAAGGTGCTGTATCAAATGCAAGGATTATTATTAATAATAATAAGGGTATTGCGCTTTTGGTTAGGCGGTGTCTAAGGTGGTTATCTTAATATTGTTTGTTTGCCTGTTTCATTCTAAGCTCAACTTTGAGGACTTAATATATTTTTATTTTGAGCTTGCTGTAATTTTCCATTTTCCATGTGCCTTCCCTCCCCTTGTTGTGCTGATCTGCCTTGAGCTAGAAGATGTGTAAGTGCAACTTGCAGATGTTTCTTGCAGAAAGTGTTCTGACGCAACGGACAGGCCACCATTTCCAGGCATGCTCCATTTGCCACTTTTCTCCCTAGACCTGTAGCTAAACTGCAGAGACGAAATGTCAGTCCAAAGTAATAAGAATTCTAGAAAAATGCATTGTTTGCAAAATACAACTGGGATAGGAAACCTTTCTTTTCCTTCTTACTCCAATCTTGTTGTATCCATCACCTGACCTGAGAACAGAAGGTCATTAAATGAGTGCTAATGCTAGTAACAGTGATAGTGAGATCCTCATATGAGCTGATCTTCGTTTTCATCATTGCATAATTGCACCAAGTGAACCAGTGTATGTGAGAGAGCTTCTGTACCACCAGTCTTCTGTGTTTTATAATAATAATAATACTAATCTTTGCATATTGCACATATTAATCTTTGATATAGCCCTCTTATCTTCGCAGAAGTCCTTCACAGAATATACTTATTTCAACCCATCACATTTCTGTAGGATGTAATGAAGCAAAGCACACATCTGATTTCAGCCTCTGACTGGGTTTATATTCTCTCTCTTACACAGAATAAACCCGCTGTCACTGGTGGAAATTATTCTCCGTGTAGTCCGACAAATGAGCGGTAAGTCTTTGAATTGCATTCAAACTTCTTTGTCCTGTCCCAATTTGTATTTTACCAGAACCCAGCAGTCTTTTATTCAGAAGATCTTTATATCTGTGACAGATTACAGAAAGTATACCAAGAGAATAATAATGATAATCCTTACATTTGGTATAGTGCCTTTCATATCATAAGGACATCTCAAAGTGCAGTACAGGATATACTGTAAGGTATAGTGACCATGTATTTGGAGGTGAACACGGTAGTCCATTTGCAGACAGCATTGTCCCAGCTTTGTGGTGAAACATGATATGAATCACTGTAAAAGGAACTTACAGCTTGAGTGTAATTGTTTGTTGTTATCAGATGATTTTGCTGATGGTTTGGGTGTGGGGGAAGGGTGATACCGCTAGAAGAGGATAGGAAATCCAAGAGATTTCTCATGGTATCGGGGTGATAGGCAATTTAGGACAGAAACAACTCATGAAATAGTTAACTATAACGAGTTTCAATAAGGAATCGGGGGTTGATTGATTTAGAACTAGATGAGTAACTAGGTGAACTACTCCTGTCTGACAGTGTTATGAGTGGTCACCTCCCATATGATGAAATCCTGTCTTGGAATTGCCTCCTTCAAAATGTTTGATCCTTTATGCATCAAGGATAAGCAGACCAATTGCCTGAATGGACAACAGGATTGTGAAGTCCTGTAGTTTAGTGTTTAGAGCGCTCGCCTCACAAGCGAGAGGACCTGGGTTTGGTTCCCAGGCAGAGCGCAACATTGGATAAGTTTCCTTACTCCACATGCCTCTGTTTGCCTAGCACTATGTAGGAACCCAGTTGTTAGTCGATTGGCGGATTGCTTTTCCGGGGGTAAATAATCCCTTTTTAAAAAAAAATGAGTTTAGTCGCTCAATCCATGACTGTTTGTGGGAACTGCTGTGCACAATTGGCTGCCACTTTTCATCCACAGTTGATTTACTTTACAGTATATTCAATAAAGTGCTTTGAGACGTATCAAAGATGTGATAAGGCGTAATATGAAATGCAACGATTATTATTATTTATTATAATATTATTAACAAAAATGAGCTTGTGACCTGCGCCCATTCTGCCTTGCGCAACAGACCATTAGCTGTGCATTTTCATTCTGTTTTTCAGATGCACAAATGGCACTGAATTTACTGGAAAAGACCTGTGAAAAAGTAAGGTGCAATATTAGCATTAAAATTAGCTCCAGGTGCACATTACACCATGTATTCCAGTGTCTGTGAATGTAGACTTTGGGGACAAATGATTGCAATACAATTGAATTTGTAAGGTTGTCTGGCAATCAAGACCAGAAAAGACAGGAAGTTTTGATTTAAAAAGTGTAAACATTAGGACAATAAGAGATGGATTAACAATAATAATAATGCTTGTATTTGGCAAAGCACCTTTCACGTCGGGAGGACGTCTTAGAAAAGCGCTTCACAGGATATACTGTAAAGTGGAGTAACTGTTTTGTGGGCGAATAAAGCAACCAATTTGCACACGGTGATGTCTCATAAACTGCCATGGAGTTAAGGATCAATTTTATTGGACAATTTAACCTCTCACTTTGATCAGGATTAGAACATTGGAACAAAAACATAAGACTATTGTTAAATAATGTTAAATTAGCAGAAGAAAATAGTCCAAAGAAAAATAAATATAATTTGAATTATTGTCCCTGAGATGATGAATAGAATAACGTAGGAAGAAAGTGGGCCAAACAAAATCTTAATTGGTGAAAGGGGGGAAAGTGATGAGTAGTCATTTTTGGAGACAGTAGACATGCAATGTGGTTCCATGGGGCTAAAGATAATGAAAAACTCAATTCTGCTGATATCATGACAGTAAAAGGATAACTAGTGGTGACTGTAGTACTCTAAATGACAACAGTGGTTAACTAAATAGAAAGAGAAAATCAACATTGTATCAAAGCAATATTTTATTGAAAAAAAGAATATTTTAATTTTCGAATCAGACAGGTCTCAAGAGGCTGCTTGTAATGTACAGCCAGTACACCAGAAGCCCAGCCAGTGTCTGGAGGTTGTTCTGGACACCCCGATACCAGACATTGCTCTGGAATACACAGTCAGGGGGCATCGCTGCAGCTTTTACTGATACTCATTAAGCAATATTCTGTTCCCTCCACAAAAACAGTACAAGCTTTGGAACAGATGAAGATGAGGAAGATGTGACTAATCTCAGTTTAAAGAGGTTCAGCTATGAGAAGTATAATGAAAGGAAAGTGATGAGCTTTGATGGGCAAATAGTACTTTATCATCCTTGATTTTTCTTATCAGATTTCAAACATGTGACTCTCTCTTTATTGGTACTGTTGCAAGTATCCTGGTATTATGTAGAAGATGCTTCCATTTGAAGAATAAAGACCATACATAGTTGGAGCTTAACTTTCTGAAAGTGTGATGATAGCTCAATTCCAAATCTCACTGACTGAGTACTTGCTGTTATCATAGGCACTTGTTTTGAGTATCAGCAGAGACTGTTAGGTATACAGTGTCAGCAGTTAGCTTGTTATACCAACGTTTTCTACGTGGCTGTCTTCTGAGGCTAACCCATTCATGAACAATAATAATCTATTAAAAGTTTGTTCAATTTACAATAATAATGTTCAAAAAGGGGGAGAAGGATAAACCTGGTAGCTACAGGTCACTCAGCCTAATGTCGATGGTGGGGAAACTTCTGGAGACCATAATTCTGGACAAAATACAGGTGGAGTCCTGCAGCTCAGTAGTTAGAGCACTTGCCTTGCAAGCAAGAGACCTTGATTAGATTCCCCGGCAGGGCAAAACCTTGAGCAAGTTTCCTTACTCCACATGCCTAATAATAATCCCTCAAGAAAAAAAACAATAATAAATTGGTCACCTCAATCCATGACTGTTTGTGGGACACTGCTGTGCGCAATTGGCTGCCGCATTTCGCCCACAAATGTACGGTCAATTCACTTTACAGTATATTCTGTGAAGCTCTTTGAGATGTCGAGAAGACGTGAAAAACACTATATCAAATGTAAGGATTATCATTATGAAAATTAATTCTGAATTGGAAAAAATATTGGTTAATAAAGGACAGCCAATACAGATTTCTTAAAGGCAAATGGTGTGACTAACCTGATTGAGTTCTTTGATGAAGTAACAGAGAGAGTTGATGAAGGTATTGTGCATAAGGCATTTGCTAAAATTACATTTAATAGACTTGTTTGGAAAATTGAAGCCCATGGTTTTAAGGGAACAGTAGCAGCATGGATTAAAAATTGGCTGTGAGACAGAAAGCAGAGGGTAGAGCTGAACAGTGCCTGGAGGGAGCTTCACAGTGGTGTCCCCCAAGGGTCGGTATTAGGACCATTGCTCTTTTTTAATATGTATTAATGACTGCACTTGGGTATAGAGAGCAAAATTTTGAAGTTCACAGATAACACAAAATTTGGAAAAGTAGTAAACAGTGAGAGGGTTGGAGCAGACGGCAGGAGGACAGAGACAGCTGGTGAAATGGGCAGACACGTGGCAGATGAAATTTAATGCAGAGAAGTGTGAAGTGATGCATTTTGGGAGGAGGAATGAGGAGAGGCGATATAAGATAAATGGTACAATTTTAAAGGGGGTGAAGGAACAGAGAGACCTGGGGGTTCACATATACAAATCCTTGAAGGTGGCAGGACAAGTTGACAGCTGTTAAAAAGTATATGGGATCGTTGGCTTTATAAATCGAAGCAGAGAGTATGTTTACAACCTTCACAAATTGCTAATTAGGTCTCAGTTGGAGTATTGTATCCAATTCTGGGCACCGCATTTTAGGAAGGATGTCAGGGCCTTGGAGAGGGTGCAGAGAAGATTTACAAGAATTATACCAGGGATGAGGGACTACAATTATGTGGAAAGACTCGAGAGTCTGGGATTACCTTAGAGCAGAGAAGGTTGAGGGGAGATTTAATAGAGGTGTTCAAAATTATGTTGGGGATTTGCTAGAGTGACCAGGGAGAAACTGTTTCCTGTGGCTGATAGGTCTGTAACCAGAGGACACAGATTTAAGATGATTGTCAAAAGAACCAGAGGGGAGACGAGGAAAAATATTTTTACCCAAAGAGTTGTTAAGGTCTGGAATACACTGCCTGAAAGGGAATTGGATTGGTATTCAAAAAGGAAAAAAAGTTTGCAGGACTATGGGGTAAGAGTGGGGGAGTGGAACAAGTTGGTAGCTCTTTCAAAGAGCTGCCATAGGCACGATGGGCCGAATGGCCTCCTGTGCTGCAAGATTCTATGAAATTTTAAAAAATGTTTAAATAGAATTATATAAAAGTCACTTGTTCTAACAATCAGTAAAGCTTAATAACAATAACAAAATAATGAAATGTAAGCGCTCTTCAAGTAAAATACAATCATCAAACACTTTACAAAGTATAATTGGTTAGAAATTAAGATAAATGATGATACGGAACTATCCAAATAAATAAGGACTGTTAAAGTCATTTTTATTTATCTACAAAATAAAATAACGCGGCTATTTTTCGGGGTCTCTGTCAGGTAGAAAGCAGGAGAAAATCAGTTGGTAAAGAATTTGACACATTTGATAAGTTTGATGAAAATCAGGATTTATTTTAGAACATGAGAAAGCTCTGTAAATCAAGCTAGAGATTAACAGCATTAACGTTTTTTTAAAAAATCAACAACACTTGAGCGCTTTGGGACGTTCTCCTGATGTAAGGCACTTTATAATTGTAAAACGCCTGTTCACAGATCAAGCCCATTGTGTAACAGGGAGTTTGGGGATGTGTGCACATCATCACACACACTAAATGAAATCAGAGCACTTGCTTTCTATACATGAACGTCAGGTGAAAATGCTATTTATTTAAACCCATTGTCTTTTCAAAGAAAGTGTGTTCATCAATGAAAATCAGTAGTAAACTATGTTAATGGTCTTTATATACAAACAAAAATAAGAAGAGGAGCCAATTAATTTGAATTTGGGACTAAATCTGGATGAGGAAGGGATTATAATGCAGGAAATACTCCATATTTTGAAATAAAAACAGCAAATCTTTTACATCCCAACTGAATCCTAAAGTGAGCAGAACCCAAATTTAACATAATTCAAAAATGGATATTTTCCAGAAATAATTAATAAACTTTATTATATTATGGAATGTCAGCAATATTGAGATCTTCTATATGTTAGTTAGTTGCACCTTTTAGAACAATAATCAATCTTTGCATTTGGTATAGCGCTTTTCACATCTTCTAGAAGTCTCAAAACATTTCACAGAATATACAGAATAGAAGTTGCAATGCCATGAACACTGCTCACTTGCTCATTATCACTCACACTCACTCACTGGAAATCAGACCTACAGTTAAACTGCCTAAAACCTGGGATGTTGAGTGTAACATGAAGATGATCATGTTATTTATTTCTAATCTGACAGGTGAAAGCAAATGATGAAGCAATGATTCTCTGCAGAACTGCCATCGCTGCCATTAAAATCAAAATCGGAGACCTGCAGGAAACAAAGGTAAGGCAGAGGGCAAGCATTGGGCAGATGGATGGTGGGAAGCAGGACTGCCGAGCAGGGGGATTCGTGGGAAGACTCCCTGCTTGTCGGCCTCTCCAACTCCTCCCTTCACAGGCTGCAGATCATCCAGAACACTGCAGCCCGTGTCCTCTCCCACACCAGGCTCCGTGACCCCATCTCCCCCATCCTCTCCCGACTCCACTGACTTCCCATCACACAGAGGATACAGCTCAAGATCCTGGTCCTCACCTTCAAAGCCCTCCATGGTCTTGCTCCCCCCACCTCTCCGACCTCCTAACCCCCCATCAACGTATCCACTCCCTCCGCTTAGTGGGCTCCGGCCTACTTAATGTCCCCGCCTTGTCTGTCCCACCATTGGCAGTTGGGCCTTCAAGCTACTCTGCCTCCACCCTCTGGAACTTCATCCCACAGTCCCTCCGCCTCGCCCACTCCCTTGCCTCCTTCAAGATCGTCTCAAGACCTTCCTCTTTGACTGTTCCTTCGGTCACCCTCTTACCCTCCCTGCCCTCCACCTCTCCTGATCCCAGCTAACAGCACCTTGGGACGTCCTCCTGATGTGAAAGGTACTATACAAATGTAATTTGTTTTCATCGGTTAATGAGTTATACCTAATCATAGAAATTAATTTGTTACAGTAATATAATGTTCGGGCATATGATATAATGGGATTTTATTACAGTTTTCTGATCAGTTTTCCCTCTTGTATCTTGTAACTTTAGTTACAATTGCTGTGAATGTTTATCACTAATCTTGTGCCTGTTTAGAAGATTGTTGAAGAAGTTGGTGAAATGTTGGAGAAGTTACCAGGAGTGACATCTGTTCATGGCCGTTTCTATGACACTTCGAGCAGCTACTATCAGGTGGTGGGAGATCACGCTGCTTATTACAGGGAGGCACTGCGTTACCTGGGCTGCACCGAACTCTCAGAATTGTCAAGTAAATCAGTTATATTATTCTTAAACACTGCTGATTGATCTCCTAAACTTTTAATTGTCTGAAGTTTATGCACTAGGGATTGTGATGAAGATGGTGAAAAAATATTCATTGTCTCCATGATGCTCATTTATTCTACTTTGTTTCAAAACATCTGATGCTGAAATAAATTGTCGGGTGTTTACTTTTGGAGATCGGGTACAACATATTAACAACAACAACAAGATTTCATTTATAGAGCGCCTTTCACGTTGGGAGGACGTCCCAAGGCGCTGGACATTTGGGTCAGGACCCGAGCAGGGGGGAAATGGTCAGGGTGAGGGGAGGGAAAGGAGGGAGCGAGGAGGGGGTAGAGAGTCGAGAGGGGAGCTGAAGGTACGGTCAAAGAGAAAGGTCTTGAGACCGGCCTTGAAGGAGGAAAGGGAGGAAGCGGCGAAGGCACTGGGGGATGGAGTTCCAGAGCCTCGGGGCTGAGAGGCTGAAGGCCCGGCCACCGATGGTAGGGCGGTTGTGGCGGGGGATGTGAAGCAGACCGGAGCCAGAGGAACGGAGGGTACGGGCAGGTAAGTAGTGGGATAGTAGGTCGGAGAGGTAGGAGGGAGCAAGGCCGTGAATGGCCTTGTAGGTGAGGGTGAGGATCTTGAATTCGATCCTCTGGGGGATGGGGAGCCAGTGGAGGCGAGCGAGGGTGGGAGTGATGTGGTCCCGAAGCCTGGTGCGGGACAGTACACGAGCTGCAGATTTCTGAATGACCTGCAGTGTGGAGGGAGGGCCGGGAAGGCCGCGAGGAGAGAGTTCCCATAGTCCAGCCTTGAGGTGATAAAGGCGTGGACCAGAGTTTCAGCCGCGTGAGGGGTGAGGTAATGCCGTAGTCTGGCGATGTTCCGGAGGTGATGGAAGGCGGTGCCAGTTGTAGTGCGGATGTGGGGAAGAAAGGACAGCTCAGGGTCGAACAGAACCCCGAGGTTCCTGATGGCTTTGAGAGGTGGAGAGTGCAGCCTTGGATGCTGATGCTGTCAGCGCCTGAGGTGCGGAGGCGCTGACGTGAGCCAATCAGGAGGGCCTCGGTTTTACGCACGTTGAGCTGAAGAAAGTTGTCTCTCGTCCAGGACTCGATGTCGGACAGACAGCTGTCAGGACATCGGGGGTCGTGCAGTTGAGGGTAGAGGAGGAAAGTTGTGTGTCATCCGCATACATGTGGAAGTTAACCCCATGTCTGCGGATGATGTCACCACAGGGGGAGCATGTAGAGGGTGAAGAGGAGGGGACCGAGGACAGAGCCCTGAGGGACACCGCACGAGACAGTGCGGGAGGTGGAGGAAAAGCCGTTTGTGGAAACAAAATGAAGACGGTGGGAGAGGTACGACCTAAACCACTCAAGGGCAGGGTATTAAGTGCATACCTCTTCTTCCTCTGGAAATTGAATATAGGCTTCATTGTACCCTCTCTGAGAAAACATCAGTATTGAATTCTGGACTATAATAATAATCCTTGCATTTATACAGCGCCTTATCATGTCTTTGAGACGTCTGAAAACACTTCACAGAATATGCTGCAAAGTGAATTGACTGTTCATTTTGTGAGGAAGAATGAGGAGAGGCAATATAAGCTGATAGTACAATCTTAAAGGGATGAAGGAACAGAGAGACCTGGGGGTCATATAAGTAAATCTTTGAAGGTGGGAGAACGTAGATAAAGCTATTTAAAAAAAAACATATGGGGTACTAGGCTTTATAAATAGGGCATTGAATACAAAAGTCAGAAAGTTATGATGAACCTTTATATAAAACACTGGTTAGGCCTCAGCGAGAGACTGTGTTCAGTTCTGGGCCCCACACTTTAGGAAGAATGTCAAGGCATTGGAGAGGGAGCAAAGGAGATTGACCAGGATGGTACCAGGAATGAGGGGCTTCAGTTATCAGGAGAGGTAGAGAAGCGAGGATTATTCTCCTTGGAGCAGAAAAGGTTAAGAGGAGACTTAATAGAAGTTCTCAAAATTGTGAGGGATTCGATAGGGTGAACAAGGAGAAACTATTCCCACTGGCGGGTGGGTCGGTAACCCGAGCGCACTGGCACAGCAGACTATTGGTCTACAATAAAGCAGAGATTGAGACAATGGGCGGAGTAGCTATAGAAGCGGTATGCAAAGGCAGATCATATAAGGTAGTTTCACAATGTAAAATTAAAAGCTGATACTCTGCTTGGACTGCAAGATATTATTATGGGGTTGCTCAAAAAAAATTGGACTGTGGAGAGAGAAGACTTCAAACAAATGGAGACAAAAAAACGGATAAATCATTAAGAGTACGTTTTGACCCACAACAATTGAAAAACGCAATAGAAATGGAGGGAAACTACAAATTAAACCAAGAAAGGAAAAAGATATAGAAGAATATCATGGGAAATATGCCAAAGAAGGACAGAGGAAGAAAAAAGAAGAGCAGAAGGAAGATCCGAGAATGGCAGAAACATCGAGAACACCAAGTCAGGAGGAGTAGTAACATCAACATGGAGATTAATTGAACAAGACTGAGACACAATAATAAGAGAAAAAAAAATAAGAAACCAAAAAGGGGAAGATGTTGGATACTCTTTAAGAAAATAAGGAACAATCTACAAGAACAAAATTACATTTGTAAAGCGCCTTTCACGTTGGGAAGACGTCCCAAGGCGCTAAACAATCAGGGATCAGGACCCAAGGATCGGGGACAGGGTTGGGGTGAGGGAGGGCAGAGCGTAGGGGGGTGGCTGAAGGCACAGTCAAAAAGGAGGGTCTTGAGTTGTGCCTTGAAGGAGGCAAGAGAGGAAGCAAGACAAAGAGATTGTGTGATGGGGTTCCAAAGACTAGGGGCAGGCAGGGAGGTTGAAAGCCCAGCTGCCGATGGTAGGGCGGGTTGGGCGAGAGACCTGGAATAGGCTGGAGCCTGCTAAGCGGAGGGAGTGAACAGGTTGATAGGGGATCAGCAACTCAGAGAGGTAGGAGGGGGCAAGGCCGTGAAGGGCCTTGAAAGTGAGGATGAGGATTTTGAACTCTATCCTCTGAGAGATTGGGAACCATTGGAGCTGGGTGAGGAAGGGGGTCACAGAGTGCGGGAGAGGACACGAGCTGCAGAATTCTGGATGATCTGAATTTTGTGGAGGGAAGAATTGGGGAGGCCAACAAGGAGGGAGTTAACTAGGACCATGAAAGGGGGCAGAAAAAGCAGGAAGCAGGAAGAACTGACTAGAGGGTTTTTGGTTGGATTGTTTGATTTGTAACTTCTGAGCTGAGAATAAAAGAGTTTTCTACACACATTGAGAATGTTGAGTGTTGAGAACATAACAGAAAGAACTCTGTACCACTCTACTCTGTACCACTCAGATGGTGTTTTGAACGCAGGAAGCAATGATGCTGTGAGGGTAGAGTTTGAGTTTGTGGTTTAGTGAACTTAGTAACAAAGGCATAACTCACTGAAAGGGGAAAGGGGGAGGCTACAAGAAACGTTTTCATGCAGGAGGTTATTGGAACATCAAAAGGTTTCCTAATGGTGGCTATTGAGGCTGAGACCAGAAGAACATTTAACTTTGATAAATATTCAAAGAAAAAGAACCAAAGGGCAAGATCAGGGAATTATGATTATAGTAGGGAATCGGTATTAACATAATCAGCTCCAGTGGATGTTTTGGCCAGTTGCATATGACTAAAGCTTCCTTGTGCAGTCCTGTAATGTAATGGCTACAGTGCTTGCCTCACAAGCGAGAGAACCTGGGTTGATTCCCAGGCAGGGTGAAACGTTTGTCAAGTTTCCTTACTCCACACGCCACTGTTTACCCAGCAGTAAGTAGGAAAACAGTTGTTAGTTGATTGGCGGATTGCTTTTCTGGGGATAATAATCTCTTCAAAAAAAAATGTGGTCATTCAATCCACACTGTAGGACACTGCTGTGTGCAATTAGCTGCTGTGTTTCATCCACAAAATATAGTCAATTCGCTTTACAGTATATTCTGTGAAGCGCTTTGAGACATCTCGAAGTATAAAGGTGCTATATCAAATCATAGAATCGTGCAACATAGAATCGTAAAAGTACTTATGGAATCGGCCTCGACCGCCCTTTCAGGCAATGCGTTCCAGATTCGAACAACTCGCTGCGTGAAAAAATATCTTCTTACCTCCCCTCGGCTTCTTTTAGAAACTATTTTGAATCTGTGACCTTGAGTCACCGACACTCCCACCAGTGGGAACAGTTTTTCCCTTTCTAACCTATCAAATCTCCTCATGATTTTGAAGACCTCTATTAGGTCCTCGTCACCTTCTCTGCTCCAATGAGAATAATCCCGGCCTCTCTCGCCTTTCCTCATCATCACGGTCCCTCATTCCTGGTCCCATCCTCGTAAATCTCCTCTGTACCCTTTCCAATGCCTTAACATCCTTCCTATAGTGCGGTGCCCAGAGCTGGGGCAGTATTCTAACTGAGGCCTAACCAGTGTTTTATATGGGTTAATCATAACCTCCTGACTCTTGTACTCTATGCCCCTGTTTATAAAGCCCAGTATCCCATATGCCCCTTTTATAGCTTTATCTACCTGTCCTGCCACCTTCAAGGATTCATTTACCTGCCCCCCCAGGTCTCTCTGTTCCTCTACCCCCCTTAAGATTGTATTACCGGCCTATATTGCCCCTCATTCTTTCTACCAAAATGCATTACCTCACATTTCTTCACATTGAAACTCCTCTGCCATGTGTCGCCCACTTTACCATTCTGTCTATGTCTTCCTGCAGTCGGCTCCTGTCCTTCTCACTGTTTACCACCCTCCCTAACTTTGTGTCGTCCGCAAACTTGAAAATGGTACTTGCTATATCAAAGTCCAGATCATTTGTATATATATATTAAGAAGAGCAGTGGTCCTAATACCGATCCCTGGGGGACGCCACTGTACACTTCCCTCCAGTCAGAAAAGCAGCCGTTCACCACAACTCTCCGCTTTCTCCCAGTCAGTTCTGGATCCGCTGCCACTGTCCCTTTTATCCCATGGGCTTCTATCTTTCTTACAAGTCTTTCATGTGGCATTTTGTCAAATGCCTTTTGAAAGTCCATATAAACTACATCAACTGCACTACCTTTATCCACCCTCTCCGTTACCTCATCGAAAAATTCTATTATGCAAGGATTATTATTCCCTCTCCACAACTCCCTCTCTGCCACTCTCGATACCTTTGCCCCCCCCTCACTTCCCGAACCATCTCCCACTCATGGTACATGAGCCACCTCCGCACCCTTAAGGCTCAGGTGCGTGCTGATGAGCGCACCTGACTCAAATCCAACTTAACAGTCCATCGGCAGATCTGGCTGGACCTTATCAAGTCTTACTGCTCTGCCCTCACCTTCGCAAAATCATCCTACTGTCTCCCCCTCCTCCTCTCATCACCACTATAACCCATGTGAAACTGACCCAACTGCTCTCTGGACCCCATCCCTACCCCTCTCCTTACCTCCCAGCTCCACTTCCTTGCCCTTCTACTCACAGACATCATAAACCTCTCCCTATCCTCTGGTATCGTTCCCACCCCTTTAAAAACAGCAGTCATCACCTATCCTTATAAAACATTCCATGGACCCATCTCTACTCTCAAACTACCGCCACATCTCCAACCTCCAATTCTTTCCAGAGTCCTGGAACGAGTTGTTGCTTCCCAGCTTTGTTCCTTCCTCTCCCGCCACGAGCCCCTCCAGTCGGCCTTCCATGCTGCCCACAGCAGAAAAACAGCCCTGGTCAAAGTGACAAATTACATTCTTTCCATCTGAGACCAGGGCCCCCTCTGCCTCCTCGTCTCTTTTACCTCTCTGCTGCCTTCTATACCGTTGACCACTTTGTCCTCCTCCACTGCCTCTCTTCTCACCTCAACCTTCATGGTTCTGTCTTGACTAGTTCAGATCGTACCTCTTACACCACCTGCACTTCATCTCCACAAACGGCTTCTCCTCTCGCCCCGCAGAGTCTCATGCGGCGTTCCTCAGGGCTCTGTCCTTGGTCCCCACTTTTTCAATATCTACATGCTCCTTCTTGGTGACATCATCCGCAGACATGTATGTCCTGAGAGCTAACTTTCTACAGGTGAACATCAACAAGACCAAGGATCTCCTGATTGGCTCCCATCAGTGCCTCCTCACCTCAGGCGCTGACAGCATCACCATCCATGCTTGCACACTGCACCTTGCTAAGCCAGTGCGGAACCTTGGGGTCTTGTTTGACCCTGTCCTTTCTACCCCACATCTGCATCATTACCCACTCTGCCTTCCCCCACTTCCCAAGATCGCCCGGCTCCGCCACTGTCTCACACCGCAGGCCACCGAAACCCTCATACACACCTTCATTACATTGAAGCTTGACCGTGCAAACTCACTGTTTGTCGTCCTCCCTAACTCCTCCCTCCACAGGCTGCAGATCATCTAGAGGATGACAGTTCAAGATCCTGGTCCTCACTTTCAAAGCCCTCTGTGGTCTTGCTCCCCCCTACCTCTGCGACCTCCCAACCCCTACCAACCTGCCCACTCCAGCCTACTTCATGTCACCCACCTTGCCCACCCCACCTTTGGTGGGTGGGCCTTCTGTCACTCTGCCCCAACCCTCTGGAACTTTATCCCACAGTGCCTCCGCCTCGCCTCCTCCCTTGTCTCCTTCAAGACCCGGCTCAAGACCCTCCTCTTTGACTGTCTCCCTCTTCCCCCCCCTGCCCCCCACCCTCCGCGATCCCGACGCCAAGCTTGGATCCGGTACACTGATTGTCCGGCGCCTTGGGATGTCCTCCCGATGTGAAATGCGCTTTACAAATTTAATTTTGTTGTTATTATTATAATGTTGACTCTGGCTATTTCCTGAATCTGCCCCGTTTCTGGAAGAGCAGGTTGTACAGAGGTGGTTGTGTGTTTTGGCTGCTTAGTCAGTCAGAGGCCGTTCTAAAACTGGTGACTTGATGTCTTTATGCAGCATTTTAATGTTGGCCTTTTTTTTTCTGCCAGTGGGTTCACAGCAACAGCGAGCATTCACATTAGGCCTGGCAGCTTTGCTAGGAGAAGGAATTTATAATTTTGGAGAACTGGTAAGCATGAACGTACATAACCCTAACCCTAAGTACACAATGATAATTCCATTCTCTGCGGAATAAAAGGATGCTATGCAACGACCAAGTAATTAAACTACTGCAGAACATGTGTATGATACAGTGCTCATCACGTTATTAGATATTTAATGCAAAGTGTCATATTTGGTTCAGTTGGATGATCCAAAGAATGGAGAAGTAGGAGACACACTGTACTGCTAATATTTTACAAGGAGTCATTGTTCATTCAATTGGTGGCAAACATGGCAACAGCTTATGATAAGCAAGCTATAACCACACTCAGAAGTAACCAATTAATCTGGTGGTTTGTTGGCCCAGACTTCAAGAGAAATGCCCTTCTCTTTTGAACAGTGTGATGGGATCTTTAATAATCACAGACAGACAGATGGGATCTCCGTTTAGAGTCTATTCCGAAGGATGGCACCTCTAAATGCAGCGTACTCCCAACACACCATTGGAGTATCAATCCAGACAATCAGCTCAAACCCATATAGGCTTGAAACCACAATCCTTCTGACTCAGAGGTTCTGCCAACTGAGCCAGGTTTGCACCTGGAAAGGAGATTGATTGATAGTGCCAGAATTTAACAGGCCTGGGTTGGATTGGGAAGGAGGAAAATCAGGCAAATGCCACTCGCTACATTTCATTGTAAGGAAAAAAGTGATAAGTCTAAAATACTCCAAATTTGTCAAAAATGTTGGATAAACAATCCCCTCGGATTATAAATTTACGCACAAACATTGGCCTGTTTTCCATTGTGCTGTTTGCAGGTAATGTTTGTGTTTTGCAGCTGATGCACCCAATTCTGGAGTCTCTGCGCAATACAGAGAACCAGTGGCTCATTGACACTCTGTATGCTTTTAATGGGGGTGATGTGGAGACCTTCTTCGTTTTGAAAACACACTGGGGAGCCCAGGTACATTTAACATTTTACTTGTGTGCACATTAAAAAAAAACATCTGTTTATTCAGATTTATTTAGTTCATCTCCTTCTGCAACAAACTAGCAGCAGGGCGGGGGGGTGTGGGGCAAGGCAATGGATTGCGGCGAGTGCTGCTAGATTGAGACACACTATTGCTCGAAATTGGAGGGAGCCGTGGTTGTGAAAATATTCCTTAACTTATTTTAACGAATGTTGTACCTCTTTCCGGGTGAGTGGTTTGTATCTCTGAGGGCTTCAATTAGAACCACCATTTTGTGTGACCCTGAGGCAAGAAATTTTTGTTGGCAAATTTTCAGCCCTCCATTGAGCTGTAGATGTTATTTGTTTACATTGCCATCCCGAGGTTGATTTGTCTCTGAGGGCCAAAATCCATCCTCACCTGGGCCCAAAAAATAACTTTTAGTCATTTAGAACTGAAGTGGATGAAGCCAAAGGCAACTACTGATAGGACCTGAGTATAGGCTCTTTGCTATCACAGCTATACGCTGGCAACAATTATTTTATCAAAATGATAATAATCCTTGCAATTGATACAACACCTTATCACGTCATTGAGACTTTTCAAAGCCCTTCACAGAACATATTGTAAAGTGAATGGACTATATTTTGTGGGTGAAACGTGGCAGCCTGTTACGCATAGCAGTGTCCCAGTCGTGGATTGAGTGACCAAACTCATGCTTTCTCTTGTGTTTGTGTGGCAGTCTGACCTGGCCAGCAATGAAAGCCGACTGAAAGAAAAGCTGCAGCTACTCTGCCTTATGGAGGTGAGTTAATATTTCTATCGGGGATCACAGGATATTGTGATGATGTGTTGAAGCGCTGATTGTGGAAGTGTCCGAGTAAATGACACTTTATAAAGGCGAGTATCCTGTATCCTTTTTTTATTTAAAAACAGCTTTATCCACCTGTCCGGCCACCACCAAAGATTTACTATATGACCCCCAGGTCTCTCTGTTCCTTCTCCCCCTTTAAGATTGTCCCATCAGCTTATATTGCCTCTCCTCATTCTTCCTCACAAAATGCATCACTTTGCATTTCTCTGCATTAAACGTCATCTGCCACGTCTGCCCATTTCACCAGTCTGTCTATGTCCTCTTGCAGTCTGTTACTATCCTCCTCACTGTTTACTACTTTTCCTAGTTTAATATCATCTGCAAACTTGGAAATTGTGCTCCATATACCTAAGTCCAGGTCATTTATATGGATCACAAACAGTAGTGGTCCCAATACCGACCCCTGGGGAACACCACTGCACCTCCAGTCAGAAAAACAACCGTTCACCACCACGCTCTGTTTTCTGGCTCCCAGACAGTTTTGTATCCATACTGCCACTGTTCCTTTAATTCGGTGAGCTTCAATTTTTCTAACAAGTCTATTATGTGGCACTTTATTAAAAGCCTTTTGAAAATCCATGAACTGCATCCACCCTCTCTGTTACTTCATCAAAACACTCTTATCAGGTTTGTTAGACATAATTTGCCTTTAACAAATCTATGTTGGCTGTCCTTTATTAACCTTTTTTTTTGGGAGCCGCACCAAACTCCGTGACCCCATCTCCCCCATTCTCGTCCGACTCCTCTGGCTCCCTATCCTTCAGAGGATCCAGTTCAAGATCCTGGTCCTCACCTTCAAAGCCCTCCATGGCCTCGCCCCACCCTACCTCTGCGACCTCCTAACCCCCTATCAACCCACCCGTTCCCTCCGCTTAGCCGGCTCTGGCTGCTCCACGTCCCCCGATTCACCCAACCCACCATTGGCGGGAGAGCCTTCAGCCACTGCCCCCAATCTCTGGAACTCCATCCCCCAATCACTCTGCCCCACTCACTCCTTAGCCTCCTTCAAGTCCCCCCTCAAGATCCTCCTCTTCGACCATGCCATGGGCCACACCCCCTCCCGTCCCTTCTCCCCCCCCCCCCCCCCCCGACCCCAACTCAGGTCTGAAATGCTGTACACTGGCCAGCATCTTGGGATGTCCTCCCGACATGAAAGGTGCTATGCAAAAACAACTTATTACAACATAAATTAAATAGCGCCCTCCACGCCGGATGGTGTCTTAGAGCGCTTTACAGTAACGGATCCCAGTGTCGAGCCAAGGGGAGGGGGAGGAAGGTGACCAAAGGCGCGGTCAAAGGTCTTCAGCTGAGACCTGAAAATAGGAAGAGAGGGGGCGAGGCAAAGGAAGTGAGGAAGGGAGTTCCAGAGCCTCGGGGCATAGTGACTGAAGGCACGGCAGCCGAGGGTGGAGCGGAGGACTCGGGTGACAAGGAGGAGGCAAGACTTGGAGGAATGAAGGCAACAGGTACTGTTTTGAGGAGAGAGGAGATCAGAGAGGTTGGGGGGTGTAGAGGAGTGGAGGGATTTGAATACAAGGGTGAGGATCTTGAAGTTGATCCTCTTGGGACAGGCAGCCAGTGCAGTCTGGCAAGGACTGGGGTAATCGGGGAGCAGAGTTGGTGTGGGTGAGAATGCGGGCGGCAGTTTTGAATGATCTGGATTTTATGTATGGCAGTGGAGGGGAGGCCGCCGAGGAGGGCGTTAGAATAGTCCAGCCGAGAGGTGACAAAAGGCATGGACCAGGGTTTCAGCGGCTTTTGGAGAGAGGTATTGGTGAGGCGGGCAATTCGTCGGAGGTGGAAGAAGGTGAGCAATTCGTCGGAGGTGGAAGAAGGCGGTGCTGGTGAGGGACCAGAAGTGGGGGAGAAGGATAATTATGGGTCGAACCTGACACCTAGGTTGCAATATGGGTTCGGAGAGTTTTAGGAGGAGGTCAGGTAGGTGGAGGAGGTGAGAACCATGAGGTTTTAGACGTGAAATGAAATCTTGTTGTAAGTGAAAATTTATTTTGTCCCGGATTATAGTCTCTAGAAGTTTCCCCACTCAGCTGACTGGCTTGTTGTACCCGGGTTTATCCTTCTGCACCTTTTTGTACAGGGGAGTAACATTTGCAACCCTCCAGCCCTCTGGCACCAACCCGGTGTCCAAGAGATTGTGGCCAAAGCCTCTGTTAGTTCCACCCTTACTTACCTCAGTAACCTAGGATGCAACCCGTCTGAACCGGGTGACTTATCTACCTTGAGCACCGACAACCTTTTTAGCACCTCCTCTCGGTTTATTCTTATCTTATCCCATTTGTCTACCCTCTCCCCCGATGCTGTGGCATTGGCTGCATCCTCTCCTTTTGTGAAAACAGATGCAAAGTACTCATTCAGTACGTCAGCCTTGTCCTCTGCCTCCACAAGAAGATTTCCTCTTTGGTCCCCAATCAGCCCCACTCTACCTCTGACTAACCTTGTATTCTTTATAAAATAATTTAGGGTTCCCTTTTATGTTACCGCTAATCTTTTCTCATACAATCTCTTTGCCCCTCTGATTACCCTTTTCACTTCTCTTTCTATTTTCTATTTGATTATCTTATGTATTTTGGACTTGACATAAGCCTCCTTTTTCTGTTTTACTTTAATCCCAATTTCCTTAGTCATCCAGGGAGCTCTGGATGCCCTACCTTTCCTCTTCATGGGAATGTATTTGTTCTGTCCCCAAACTATCTCCTCCTTGAAGGCTTCCCATTGCTCGTTAGATGTTTTATCTGCCAATCTTTCTTTCCAGTCCATGTTGGCTAGGTCTCTTTTCAATTTACTGAAATTAGCCCTCTTCCAGGTGAGTATGTTCACCTTTGATCGTTCCTTGTCCCTTTCCATAACTACTCTAAAGTTTCTCACTATTATCCAAATGCTCTCTATTAGGATAATTAAGGTCCCCATTATTACTACTCTATTGGTTTTGTATCTTTCTGAAATTTGCTTGCAGATTTGCTCGTCTATCTCCTTCCCACTATTTGGTGGTCTATATACACCTAACAGTAACAGCTCCTTTTCTGCTTCTTAACTCTAACCAAATAGATTCTGTTTTGGGACCCTCTAGCACATTGTCCCTTTCCAGGGCCGTAATCGTGTCTTTAATCAATATTGCAGCCCACCCCCCCCCTCCTTTTTTTCCTTCCCTATTCCTCCTGAATACATTGTAGCCAGGAATATTCAGCTCCCATTCCTGCCCTTGTTTGAACCCCGTCTCCCCGCTTGCAGTTCACCGATCTTATTTGTCACATTCTGTGCATTTATGCCCATGCTCTCCAAGACTGACTTAGTCTGCTCTGCATTTCTCCCGTCTAATCCCTCCTTTTTCTAATCTACTCCTTATTGCATTGGTATTTGTCTCTCCCATACCTCTATGTAACTTGTTTCTCCTCTCTGATGCTGTATCCTGATTCTCTTTCACCCTCTAAATTAGTTTAAAACCACAGCATTAGTTAACCTCCCTGTGAGGACATTGGTCCCAGCCCTGTCTAGGTGTAACCCATCCACCTTGTACAAATCTCACCTCTCCCCAGAACTGGTCCCAATGTTCCCGGAACCTATACAACCTTTCTGTACCATTTCTCCAGCCATGCATTCATGTGTTTTATCTTTTCGATCTGATAATCCACTATGGAATTCCCTGCCTCATTCCTTCTCGCCTCACTGTCCATCTTCAAATTACGCTTGAAGACTTTCCTCCATGACCATGCTTTCTCTTCCCCCCTGGTGCTACATAACTTTATTATGAGGATAGGAATATCACTTGAAATTCAACTACTCCATAATTTTACTCATTTCAAGTATGAACTGGATCAAGTATGAAGTTATATTAGTTTCTCAAATGCATCCACTATTGCCAATCAGGCAGAATCCTCTCTGAATCTCCCATTCATACAATTTGTTAATGTTTTTCTATTTAACAGATGGTGTTTACAAGACCAGCCAATCATCGGCAGATGACATTCCAGGAAATATCCCATCAGGCTAAAGTGCCCATTGGCGAGGTGAGTCTCAAGTCAATTACCCTAAAAACAAATCGTTCCATTAATCCCCTTTGAAGCTGCATCTTGATAAGAAAAGTTACTATTGGGGGGGAAAAAGTTTGAAAGTAAGAGAGTTAACACTAAGTTGGTGTCCTGTAGTGGTTAGAGTGCTCGCCTCCTAAGCAAGAGGATTTCATTCCCGGGCAGGGTGAAAAGTTGGGCAAGTTTCCTTACTCCACACGCCTCTGTTTACCTCCTCGCCGGTCTCGCCAGCTCCACTATTCAAAAGATCAGCTCATTCAGAACTCTGCCGCTCACATACTGACCCAGACCAATCTCCGTACCCAACTCTCACCAGTTCTGGCTCAGGCTTCACTGGCTCTCCATCACCGAACAGATTGACTTTAAGATCCTCAACTCGTGTTCAAATCCATTCACTCTCTGACACCTCCCTCCCTGCCTCCCTCTCCGACCTCCTCACTCCCCACTCCATCAGCCGGCACCTCAATTCGACAGGCACCGGCTCCTGCTCGTCCCTCGCACCCTCCATTGGAGGTCGCGCTTTCAGCCACTACTCCCCAAAACTCTGGAACACTCTCCCTCAATCCCTTCGCTTTGCCCCTTCTCTCCCCTTTACCAAGTCCTGCCTTGAAACCTTCCTTTTCGACCATCCTTACGGTCAACTTCCCTCCTTTTGGTCACTCAATCCACAACTGTTTGTGGTACGCTGCTGTGCAAAATTGGCTGCCACGTTTCGCCCACAAAATATAGTCAATTCACTTTATAGTATATTCTGTGAAGCGCTTTGAGAAGTCTCGAAGACATAATAATATCAAATGCAAGGATAATTATTGTTTGCATAGCTTGAATCCTTGATTCATTTTGAAGTTGGAATCAAGGGGAGTTTGATATATGGGATTGGTGATTGGAAGAATTGTCTTCCTGATGGTTGGAAATTATGACTCTAATTGAGGTCTAGGTGTGGAATATACTAGTTGATTGGTGCTGCAATATGCAGCTAGCTGTGACATTTTAATTCCTATCATGTGCCAACAGGTTGAAATGCTTGTGATGAAAGCATTGTCCACTGGGCTGGTTAAAGGGAGCATTGATGAGGTGGACCACAAGGTTCACATGACCTGGGTTCAGCCACGTGTCATGGACCTGCAGCAGGTAAGGAGAACCAGGCCACAGTATTGCTGCCATCAAAACATGTTGTGCTTTAGTTGTATCACTCATGTCCTCTCCTAATTGCATTCATATTAAAATGGCAAAAAGAGAATTCTCTGCATTTCAAAAAACATCCTAGCTATTCTATCTTGCTGATTGGTGGAATGGTGGTAATACATTTGCTGATTCTTTGTGTGCCCCTGTACGGGTGACTGTCCATCATTGGGAAACTGCTTGTATTTTAAGCAGGACTGTGACTAAGTTACAAAAATTAATTTGATGTCTATCGCATGCAGAGAACAACACCAAAATTACATTTGTAATTTCAAGTCGGGAGGACGTCCCAAGGCGTTGGACAGACAGAGTTATAGACCTGAGCTGGGGGTTGGAGTCGGGGAGGGTAGGGGGGGAAGCAGGGAAATTAAAAGTACGGTCACAGAGGAGGGTCTTGAGATGGGTCTTGAAGGTGGCGAGGGAGGGGGCGAGACAGAGTGTGATGGAGAGGGGCAAGGAAGGTGGGGGACTTGAAGCAGACCGGAGCCCGCTGAGCGGAGGGAACGAGCAGGATGGGAGGGGGTTAGGAGGTCGCAGAGGTAGGGGGGAGTAAGACCATGGAGGGTTTTGAAGGTGAGGACCAGGATCTTAAACTGTATCCTCTGGGTGATGGGGAGACAGTGGAGTCGGCCGAGGATGGGGGTGATAGGGTTGCGGAGCCTAGAGCATGAGAGGTCACATGGGAGGACACGGGCTGCAGTTTGGATGATCTGCAGCCTGTGGAGGGAGGAGTTGGGGAGGTCGACAAGAGGGAATCTCGCATGATTCAACTGTGCACCAATTGTTTAGTAGCGTAGTGGTTAGCTTCTTGCAAGCAAACCCGGGTTTGATTCCCAGGCAGAGTGAAATCTTCATCAAGTTTCCTTATTCCACACACACCCTGGTGTTTATCCAGCAGTAAGTAAGAACCAGCTTGTTCGTCAGTCGATTGGCGGATTGCTTTCCGTGTGTAATAATCCCTCCAAAGAAAAAGAAATTAGGTCACTCAATCCACAACTGTTTGTGGGACACTGCTGTGCCTATATGGCTGCTGCGCTTTTGCTCACAAAATACATGGTCACTACACTTTATAGTATACCCTGTAAAGCGCTTTGAGATGTCTCAATGACATGATAAGGCGCTATATCCAATCCAAGGATTATTATTATTGTATTAATCACAGCTGGTGCAAAGTTGACTGTTTCCATTTGCATGTTGTTGGGTATCTGGATTAAACACTAGCTTTGCCTGTGATACCTGTCTCACGAATTTTGTTAATCTCAAATTGACTCTGAGCAAAGTGCCTCTTCCATTCAGTGCTGAGGATTGTGCACCTGAAACCATTTCCACAATTTTGTTTCCAGGACTTTGAGGAAGGAGTAAGTGACTGTGCTGTAGAAGTTCGTTGCTACTCTTATGAAAGTTCTCTAGTTTGTGGAACATTACACTCCATTGCAGTGCAGGAGATGTGCTGCATTATTGGAGGTGCCGTCCTTCAGTTGAGATGTTAAATTGAGGCCCTCTCTGCTTGTTCACTTGGACGTTAAAGAGAATATATTCAAAAAGAGAAGGGAGTTTATCTCTCCCGCTGTCCTGACCAACAATCTCCCAAATAAGATTGGTCATTTACTTCATGGCTGTTTGTGGAACATTGCTGTCCACAAATTTGCTGCCACGTTTGCCTATAAAAGTCATTGCACTTTACAGTATATGCTGTAAAGTGCTTTGGGACATCCTCCCAATATGGAGGATTGTGGAGTCCTGTAGCTCAGTGGTTAGAGCACTCGCTTTGCAAGCGAGAGACCTGAGTTCAATTCCAGGCAGAGGGCGAAACCTTGAGCAAGTTTCCTTACTCCACTCACCTAACAATAATCCCTCCAAAACAATAATAAATTGGTCATTTTCAATCTACGACTGTTTGTGGGACATTGCTGTATACAATTGGCTGCCGCGTTCGCCCACAAATATACAGTCAATTCACTTTACAGTGTGTTCTGTGAAGCTCTTTGGGATGTCATCCCAACGTGAAAAGCGCTATATCAAATGCAAGGATTATTATTATAATGTGAAAGAAGCTGTGGCAAATGTAAGGATTATTTACTCTTCAAAAAGCAAGGCAAGAATCGCATTTGAAAAAACTTATTTTCTGCTTCATCGATATAATCAGCCTCTCAGGTCAAGTAACCAATGAGCAGTCAGTAAGATGCTAAAATCCCGGGGGTCATATAATCTGATTACAAATTAACCTGCATAAATGTTAATGTTCATTGTCCACACGTGATGCTGGTCTCTGGATACACTGTGAATGTCTAGCTATCATTTTAAATCTCTAGGTATCTGCCATGAAAGCACGCCTGGAAGCTTGGTGTGCAGATGTGAAGAACATCTCCATCCTTGTTGAAGATCACGCACATGAAGTCCTTGGGTGAAAGAATCCCTGTTTACCCAGCAGTAAGTGTGACAATGTGACACTTCCTGAAAGAAAAAGCTGTTTCGACGTTACTGTTATTTGTTGTGTTTTCTGTAAAGTAGCTGGTTAAATCCTTGTTGTAAACGTGAAATAAATTTAGGTTTGGTCATGTCATTGAATGCAGTAAACATGATGCCTCATGCTTACATGGACGACTAGAAGGCCAACCTTACGGTTAAACATTTAGAAAATTGTTTGGTTAATATAGGACAAATCAGTTCTCACGCACCCAATGGTTTTGCGCTTTTTACTGAATCTCCTGTGGGCAGACGTTCAGCCTACCATGTTTGTGGTAACAATTTATTACATTTTCAGCAGATCTTTTCCCTGACTTTTCTCCATATCTATGAGAAAGCTAATTCATCTGCAAACCAGCATGGGGCAAGTGTCTTATGTGCAGCCTCCCCTGATGGGGTAAAAGACTTGACTTCTTCACAGCCATCCTGTTAAGCCAACCAGGAGGGAGACAATGTTTTCACAATAGTGCCATTGAGCCAGTAGATGGAGAAGGCTTCTTCTCTCCCAGGAATAGGCACTCACCTATCACTGGGTATTGACTATGTGGCTCAGCCACAAGCTCCTTATTGTGCAGATAAAGTTTTGCACAATACGTAGAATAACAATCAGCAATAAATGCAAGACTGGAGTGAGAATATTACCATTCTGTGGTACATCAACCAACGAGGCTTTTCTTACTTTGTGCTGTGCAAATGTTACTCTGTTGAAGGAGACATTTTTGTTGAGCACCTTTTAACAACAACACAAAATGAACATTTGAATAGCACCTTTCATGTCGCGAGGCGCTGGACAATCACTGTTTCGGACCTGAGCTGGGGCAGGGTGGGGAAGGAGGAGGCATGCTCGAAGAGGAGGGTCTTGAGATGGTCTTGAAGGAGGCAAGCGAGGTGGTGAGGCGGAGGGACTGTGGGATGGAGTTCCAGAGGATGGGGGCAGAGTGGCTGAAGGCCTGCCTGCTAATGGTAGGGTGTGCGCGGCGGGGGACATGAAGAAGGCCACAGCCCACTAGGTTGAGTGAGTGGGCAAGTTGGTAGGGGTTGGGGGTTGCAGAGGTAGGGGGAGGGGGGGAGCAAGGCCATGGAGGGCTTTGAAAGAGGAAACAAGGATCTTGAACTGTATCCTCTGTGTAATGGGAAGCCAGTGGAGCAGGATGAGGATGGGAGTTGTAGGGTCGCGAAGCCTGGTACGAAAGAGGCTGCAGAGTCCTGGGTGTTCTGACGGAGGAGTTGGCGAGGCCAACAAGCAGGGAGTTTGCGTAGTCGAGCCTGGATGTAATGAATGTAATGAATGTGTGTGTGAGGATTCCGGGGGGGCTGCGGTGTGAGACAGTGGCAGAGTCGGGTGATGTTGCGGAGGTGGGGGAAGTAAGCTCTCATGCAGGACTTGATGTCCTCAGGGATCTGTCCTCTTCAATATCTATATGCTCCTCCTGGGTGACATCATCCGTAGATATGGGGTAAATTTCCATATGTATGCGGATGACACCTAACTCTATCTCTCTACCTCCACCCTCAACTCCAGGACCACTGCTATCCTGACAGACATCCCCTTTCATCTGTTCTGATGAAGGGTCATGGACCCGAAACGTTGACTCACTTTCTCCATAGATGCTGCCTAACTTGCTGAGCGTTCCCAGTGACTTCTGTTTTTGTTACATTATTTCCTAAAAGAAAACTATCTAATGGATAGTTGAAAGAATCAACACTTCCTGTTTCATCCGTCTCCCTAAGGAGTCTGTTCCACAGGTTCACTATTCACTCACTGAAATAGTATCCGTGTAGATTTGTTCTGAATTTATATCCTGTTCTGAATTGCAGGCCATGGCCTCTGGTTCTACTATTCTGGACAAGTTGAAACAGCCCGTCATGATCTATATTGTTTTGCCCTTTTAGAATCTTAAAGACAGCAATCATGTCGCCTTTCGATCTTCTCGAAATGTGACCAATTTACTCAGTCGCTCCTCAGAGTCCAGTCCCTCCATTCCCTCAATCATTTCGGTTGCCCTCCTCTGTATCTTCTCGATTTCTCCAATATCCTTTTTGTACTGCAGTGACCAGACCTGTACACAGTCTCTAAGTACGGTCTCACCAATGATTTATACAGTGGCAGGATTACCCCACTATTTTGGCTGCTATTGATCTTTTGATACATCCCAACATCTGGTTTGCTTTACTCACTGCCACAGAGCAGTGTTGGGGGAGCTTCAATTTATTGTCAATCAGGACCCCCAGGTCCTTTCCATTTTCCATACATATTACTTTCCTTCCGTTCAAATAATCCTCCCATGTGAAGTATTTTGCAAGCAAGAGACCTAGGTTCAATTCTCGGCAGGGTGAAACCTTGGGCAAGTTTCCTTACTCCACATGCCTGATAGTAGTCTCTCAAGAAAAAAAAATTGGTAATTTCAATCCACGACTGTTTGTGGGACACTGCTGAGCGCAATTGGCTGCCGCATTTTGCCCACAAATATACAGTCAATTCACTTTACAGTATATACAGATGTGAAAAGCACTATATCAAATGCAAGGATTATTATTATTACTTTACATTTCTCCACATTGAATTTCCTCTGCCACCGATCTGCTCATGTCCCAAATGTGTTCAAATCCGTCTGTAACGGATCTTGTTTAGCTTTGCAATCTGCGACCTTCATCAGCTTGGTGTCATCTGCAAACTTAGCCACTGTGCTTGCGACTTCTAGTTACAGGTCATTTATAAAAGTATTAAAAGAATTGGATGATTTAAAAACTTATATTGCTTGTGATGTTTACCTCTGCCCTGAATGAAGGACACACAGGCTTTCAACTCTTGCTTGGTCACTTTGACCTGTCAAAGGTTGCAGAAAGCCAGCAGGAATTCAGACTTGCTTTGTTAAAGCTTGGGCATTGTTGCCAGAGTAGATTTGTTTGACTAAATACAGCAGCAGGATATCTAATTAACTGCAGATTCTAGACCCAACTCAATGTGGCATTTCAATATGTTTTTCGAATCATCGAATCGTACAGCACAAAAGGAGGCCATTCGGCCCATCGTGTCTGTGCCGACTCTTTGAAAAAAGCTATCCAATCACACTCCCCCGCGCTCTCCCCATACTCCTGATCAACCGCGCTCTCCCCATACCCCTGATCAACCCCACTCCCCCGCGCTCTCCCCATACCCCTGATCAACCCCACTCCCCCGCGCTCTCCCCATACCCCTGATCAACCCCACTCCCCCGCGCTCTCCCCATACCCCTGATCAACCCCACTCCCCCGCGCTCTCCCCATACCCCTGATCAACCCCACTCCCCCGCGCTCTCCCCATACCCCTGATCAACCCCACTCCCCCGCGCTCTCCCCATACCCCTGATCAACCCCACTCCCCCGCGCTCTCCCCATACCCCTGATCAACCCCACTCCCCCGCGCTCTCCCCATACCCCTGATCAACCCCACTCCCCCGCGCTCTCCCAATACCCCTGATCAACCCCACTCCCCCGCGCTCTCCCCATACCCCTGATCAACCCCACTCCCCCGCGCTCTCCCCATATCCCTGATCAACCCCACTCCCCCACTCTCTCCCCATAGCCCCGATCAAACCTTCAACTTTGAAGAGAGAACTTCTCTCTTCAAAGTTGTTATCTGAAACTCTGGTCCACGCCTTTATCACCTCAAGGATGGACTATGGGAACTCTCTCCTCGCCGGCCTTCCCGGCCCTCCCTCCACACTGCAGGTCATTCAGAACTCTGCAGCTCGTGTACTGTCCCGCACCAGTGACCACATCACTCCCACCCTCGCTCGCCTCCACTGGCTCCCCATCCCCCAGAGGATAGAATTCAAGATCCTCATCCTCACCTACAAGGCCATTCACGGCCTCGCTCCCTCCTACCTCTCCAACCTACTATCCCCCTACCTACCTGCCCGTAGCCTCCGTTCCTCTGGCTCCGGTCTGCTCCACATCCCCCGCCCCAACCGCCCTACCATCGGTGGCCGGGCCTTCAGCCTCTCAGCCCCGAGGCTCTGGAACTCTATCCCCAGTGCCTTCGCCGCTTCCTCCCTTTCCTCCTTCAAGGCCGGTCTCAAGACCTTTCTCTTTGACCGTGCCTTCAGCTCCCCTCTCGACTCTCTACCCCCTCCTCGCTCCCTCCCTTCCCTCCCCTCACCATTTCCCCCCTCCTCGCTCCCTCCCTTCCCTCCCCTCACCCTGACCATTTCCCCCCTGCTCGGGTCCTGACCCAACTGTCCGGCGCCTTGGGATGTCCTCCCGACGTGAAAGGCGCTCTATAAATGGAATCTTGTTGTTGTTATCGAATCAGCTTCCACCAGCCTTTCAGGCAGTGCATTCCAGAACCCAACAACTTTCTGTGTGAAAACATTTCTCCTCACCTCCCCTCTGTTTCTTTTAACACCTATTTTAAATCGGAGAAAATAGTTTATCCTTGTTCACCCTATCACAATTTTGAAAGCTTCTATTAAGTCTCCTCTTAACCTTCTCTGCTCCAAGGAGAATAATCCTCGCTTCTCTACCTCTCCTGATAACTGACGCCCCTCATTCCTGGTACCATCCTGGTCAATCTCCTTTGATCCCTCTCCAATGCCTTGACATCCTTCCTAAAGTGTGGGGCCCAGAACTGAACCCAGTTACTAGCTGAGGCCTAACCAGTGTTTTATATAAAGGTTCATCATAACTTCCTGACTTGTGTATTCTATGCCCCTGTTTATAAAGCCTAGTATCCCGGATGCTCTTTAACAGCTGTATCTGTCTGTCCGGCCACCTTCAAAGATTTACTAGACAACCCCCCCAGGTCTCTCTGTTCCTTCACCCCCTTTAAGATTGTCCCATCAGCTTATATTGCCTCTCATTCTTCCTCTCAAAATGCATCGCTTCACATTTCTCCACATTAAACTTCATCTGCCACGTGTCTGCCCATTTCACCAGTCTGTCTATGTCCTCTTGCAGTCTGCTACTATCCTCCTCATCACTACTTTTTATAGCTTAGAATCATCTGGGAACTTGGAAATTGTCCTACCTGTACCAGAGTCCAGGACATTTATATAGATCAAGTCCGAATACCGACCCCTGGGGGACACCACTACACACTTCCCTCCAATCAGAAAAAGAACAGTTCACCACTCTCCGCTCTCTGTCTCCCAGCCAGTTCTGAATCCGCTGCCACTGTCCCTTTAATAC